ATGAGGCCACTGGGTGGGGTCATCAGGGGATGTGGGGCTTTGTGACATCAGTATGCTGATGACACTCATCTCTACATCTCCTTTTCACCAACATCAGTGGATGCTGTTCTGTCCCTTCAGTGCTGTCTGGAGGCTTGTACTGCAATGGATGCAGGAGAATGGACTGAGGCTGAACCCGGATAAGACAGAGGTCCTGAGGGTGGGTGCCCCCTCCATTGGTGTTTTGGGAAGCTCCTCTCTTTTGTTGGGGTGACTCTCACCGCGAAGAGTGAGGTTTGCAGCTTGGGAGTCCATCTGGATCTGGCGCTCACCATGGAAACCCAGATGGTGTCAGTGGTCCGCTCCGCCTATTTCCATCTGTGGTGGATTGCCCAGCTGAGTCCCTATCTTGATGGCGGGGCACTCACCAGTTTGGTCCATGCGCCTGTAATCTCAAAATTAGACTACTGCAATGTGCTCTACGTGGGACTACCTTTGAGATTGATGTGGAAGCTTCAAATGGTGCAGAATGCATCGGCCAGACTTCTCAGTGGGATGCGAAGATATCAACATATTTTCCCCACTCTGGCTGCCTTGCATTAGCTGCCCATTGGCTTCTGCATTGATTACAAAGTGTTAATGATGACATATAAAGCCCTAAACGGTTTAGGATCTCGTTATCTAGCGGAATGCCTTCTCCCACCTAGATCTACTCGAATCACTCATTATAGCCAGGAAAGACGGCTGAGGGGTCTAACGCTGAGAGAGGCCCGGAAAGAAAGAACAAGAAACTAGCCTTTCTCGGCAGTGTCCGCTCGACTTTGGAACAGACTACCATCAGAGATCTGCCTAGCTCCCTCGCTAGGTGTTTTTAAGAGCCAATTTACGACCTGGCTCTTTAGGAAAGCCTTCCCCCATGTCACTTCCTGATTTTTATTTTTATTTCCACTGTCTATCCTGATTTCTATCTTTCCATCTTGAATGTTACCAATATTGCTGTTTAAATTGTTCCTTTTAATTCTGGTTTTTATGCTATTTTATTGAAAGCCATCCAGAGTAGACACAGTCTAAATGGGCGGGGTATAAATTTAATAAATAAATAAATAAATCTGCAAGCAGGGTCATAAGGCTTTAGGAATGGACCTCAACAGATGGGAAACCTTGACATGTGAGCATTCAGCCTGGAGGCAGGCGGCGCATCATGGCCTTTCCCAATTCGAAGAGACCCTTGTCCAGCAGACCGAGGGCAAAGAGGGAGTCACAAAAGCAGCAAAATCAGGGAGTTGGATAGGGGACAGATTGTATTTGTCTTCAGTGTGGAAGAGGTTGTAACTCTTGAATTGGCCTCCTCAGCCCCACTAGACGCTGTTCAAATACCTCTATTCAGAGCACATTACCATAGTCTCTCGAGATTGAAGGATGCCTAACCTACATAATCTGGGTGTTGGAAAAGGGGCAAAACAGTGCATCCCCAGAGTGGATAAATGTCTGAATAATCACCCACTAAGATATCTTCTACCCAAGTTTCCTCAGTGAAAATATGTTTTGAATAGTCACCTGCTAAGATATCTTTCTACCCAAGTTTCCTCAGTGAAAATATGTTTTGCAATTGTCCAGTGCTGTGGTATTACATTTCTTCATTATAATCATTTTGATTTCAAACCAATACTTCTCTGCTTCCTGTATCCTATATTTTTAGGATAATTGTGGTTAAAATAAATTAATCACAGGGTACAGAATTAATTAAATAACAATGGATCAGCCATTTAACTTTTAACAACATTTTGAAACATTTTGCAATCTATTAACAGGAGAACATTTTTTATCATGCTCTCTCTCTCTCTCTCTCTCTCTCTCTCTCTCTCTCTCTCTCGGTCTAGGTGGATCTAGCACTAGGATTTCTTTGTTATCTGAATGAACAACACCCAGTCAACAAGCAAGTGGGCAAGTGTTGTGATACCTATACCAAACGTCGGGAATGCTTCATTGGATTGGGACCAGATCCAGATTATGTTCCTGTGCCATTTAATACTGAAATAGTCCACTTCCATGCCGATTATTGCACAGCAAAACCAGAAGAGCAACAGGAAAAGAAACAAATGTAAGATACCTATTGACCCAAGAGTGGGCCATTTATTTCACCTCAATCAATATAGGAGCTTAAATCTGCCTCATATCTCCAGTTCTCCATCACATGCATCTGTTCTGGTTACACATGCATAAGTTTTAGTCACTATGTTCGCTAGATGTCACTGCATTATCTGATACACCAGAAAAGGTCAATGGCTGAAATCCTGTTGCACACTCTGCATGCGCAACGGGGATGATGTCATCAATAGTGGCAAATCATTGTTGATTAAAGCCAAATTGCCACTGATTAAAGATGGCTTCAGAAATCGCAGAACTCATAGACAATGCAGTAAAGTCACATTCACCCAAAAGCACCAAAGGAACCCTTTAATCAGCTGTAGTTTTACCCCTACTGATGATGTCATCCCAATTGTGCACATAGATCTGCCCAATAGGATCTCAGCCTGTGTCTCTCTGGTTGTCCAAGTGGGGAGGCAAAGCTTAGGCCAGTTAGTACTAGAGGAAGACAGAGGCTGCTTTTATTCTGCATGTTGGCTTCAATGCCTGGGTGCATTTTCACATGGTGCCAGAACTCATTGGCTCAATTGAAAGCTATGTACTATATGTACATATATGTGTAGGAAGTCATACACATACAGTGGTGCCTCGCACAGCGAGATTAATCCGTCCCGGATTAACCCTCGCTGTGTGAAACATCGCTGAGCGGGGCAGAAAAGCCCATTGGAACACATTAAACAGTGTTTAATGCGTTCCAATTGGCTGCTACACTCACCGTTCAGTGATGTTTCTCCGATGGCCGGCAGCCATTTTCGCACCCTCCCCTCGCTGAATGAGGGCGCAAAAATGGCTCCGATCAGCTGTCCGACGAGTCCAAAATGGCCGCCAGAACTGCCGAAATGGCCAGCCGCAGCGTTTTCGCGCCCTTGGTAAGCAAGGGGAGGGCGCAAAAACGCTGCGCCTGGCCCTTTCAGCTGTTCCGGCAGCCATTTTGAAGCCGCGGAACAGCTGATCGGCGGGTCGCAAAGCGAAGGTCGGTAAGCGAACCGCTTACCGACCTTCGCTCTGTGATTTTCGCCCATTGGGGGCATCGCTCTGCGATCGCCTTAGCGATCGCAAAAGCGTCACCGTAGAGCGAATTCATCGCTCTATGGGGCGCTCCTTGTGCGAGGCACCACTGTATATGTACCATATACTGTTTCATTCAGTTCCATTCAGTGCACGCACACACACCTAGCAACATTTGTCATTTTTGCTAATGTTACACAAGATTCTACTTCCTCTGACATCACAAAGAGCCTCTCTATGACTTCATCAAAAGATCTCCTTTTATTCCAAGCCCCGGAAGCAAAGTGAAATGAAAACTGATGACCTGTTCCTTATTTAGCTTACCTTCATTTCTCTGGCCTCTAAATCATCAAACAAGTATGTTTTTCTGGGTGCCCTGTGTTCTCACTGTCTTGCTGTCTTCTCAATTCTAAGCCTCCTCCCTTCCTGGGGCTTGCTTCTCTCATCCTTAGTTCCTTGAATCCTGTTTACCTCATTTGTAAGGATAAAAAAGTTGCCAGTATCCTTCCCAGTGCTGGGAAAAGAGACAGAAGCACTGATTGGTGCCTTTACTGGCTGGCAATGAGACTTATGCTGGTGGTGACACTCTCATTTCAAGGTTCTTGGTTCCTTGGTTTAAGATGATCAGTGGAGGATTGCTCTCTCTCTCTCTCTCTCTCTCTCTCTCTTTTTCACACACACACACACACACACACACACACACACACACACACACACACACACACACACACACTTGGTTTCCTTAACCCTCAGAGATCCCAGGCACCTAACCTTGTACTTACATGGAATGTACATCCAGCTGTACTATGATGATGGGGAAAGTGGCACCTAGATTTATTTCCAGCACCACCACTATTCATTTGATCCAGGAACTATAAAACCATGGCATCCAAGTCCAAACTCATCCTAGTATGTCTACTTTCCCACAGTCCTTTTCTGTGCCTCATCTGTATGTATTTCCCTCAGCCCCTTGTCTCCCCTTCTATTTGTTTGACCCAGGAAATATAAAACCATGGCATCCAGGTTCAAAATCTTAGTATGTCCACTTTCCCACAGTCCTTTTCTATGCCTCCTCTGTGTGTATTTCCCTCAGCCCCTTGTCTCCCCTTAGCTGTCCATTTTTTTGTTAGTGGATAAGCCCCACTGGCAGACTCTTTTTCAGCACACCTCCTGCCAACAGATTGCACATTGCTGCTTTGAGTGCTGTTTTATCTCCTAAGTATTTATCTAGGTTGAGGATTTTCAAACATTGGGGGCTAGTATTGGAAAGAATGGCCTAATAGTTTGAAGTTACTGACAGTGCATTTTGCAAGATCTTTACCCTGCAGAAGTCAATAAGGATGGGGTGTGCTAATCCTTAAATCAAAAGAGACAGACATCCAATAACTCATCCTATAGCTAACGGTTGTTCTCATTCCAGCATGCTGTTCCACATAATTCAACATAAGCCTGATATCTCAGAAGAACAACTGGCAACTGCAATTGTGGATTTCACTGATGTGGTGACAAACTGCTGTAGCAAAGAAAACAAAGAGGAATGCTTTAACACAGAGGTAAGCTTTTATAAAGTCTATCTGGTGCCTTGTTTCCAAAAATGGAAAGTTTGTATGGCTATAGTTAGGCAGCTATTAGGACCCTAACCATATACTCAAAGATAGTTTGGTGGGTCTCATATGCCCATATCTCTACACATCCATGCACATTCTCGGAATTCCATCTGTATTCCATTCCCATCCTTTGTATCAAATTACAACTGTTTATTTTTCTTTTCTGCATGAATGTTCACACACACTTTGCATTCACTTTGAAGAAAAAAACTCTGACTGGTGTGCATCTTTTCTTTTAGATTCCAAAACTGATTGAACGGACCAAAGCTGCCCTTGGAGAGCAGTAAGCATTTCAGGTAAGCCAGTGTGGAAGTATGCTTTCTATAAATATGTTTTGGTGGTTTTGGACTAGCAATGCTGAAAAAAAGAAGCGCTAAGTCATTGAAAATTTGACATCAATTCTCTAAATTTGGCAATAACTTACTGAACATTTTGCAATAATTTCTGAAATAATTTGGCAAAAATCTGTTGACAGTTTTTAGTTTTTCCCCTTCTAAAATTTTTAGCAACTGCTCTTCCAGTCAAAAACTGGGAGCAAGTTTAATGGGTTAAGCAGGTATTTCAAATTATTTTATTTTATTACTCAAAGGTTTGTTTGGGAAAAACTTTGTCATATTCATTGATAAATTCAAATGATTTTTGATGGGTTTTTCAATTTAAACTGATCTGTATGATTTCAAAAATATGCAGAACTCACTGGATGAGAGGACTGGAAAAAAATAATGCCTAGAAAATCCTATTGGTGTTCATATGAGGTTTGTCTAACTTGTCAGAGTTAATTATGGAGAATGGTTGATGTGTTATTTTGGTTGTGTCCTGCCCTTGATTGCTCAACCAAGATGCATAATAGCATAATACACAAACCAAAGGCAAACACTATATTCCAGGATTCCAGCCAAAATATTTATTTATTTATTTATTTATTTATTTATTCATTCATTCATTCATTCATTCATTCATTCATTCATTCATTCATTCTATTTACATCCCGCCTATTTGGTCATTGCGACCACCAATATTTTGCATGTAGTGGAAAACAAAGTCTCTCTCAAATCAATTACCAGATTTTTGCCTCTAGATGCAGAGGAAACTTTGCCAAACAAGTATTGAAGAAACCTTTGGTACTATAGTATGGTCAATGAGTACTCCTCCTCCTCCTTCACATTTCTCCACTATTAATTTCTCCCTACTCAACTATCCTTAAACTTAGCTCCTTCAATTTCTGAAGAGAAGAATCACTGTTTAGAAGTTCACGTGTAGTAGCATATAGTCTCTAAAATATGTTGTAGGTTGATCAACATTGAGGATCTCACTTGGGACTGAAAATAATGTTTTGCTTTCTTTTCCTCCTCTAGCTGAGCAATGAGAGGATGCTGGAACTAAAGGCCCAACATGCCAAGGCACCCTTGGTGTTGCTTGCTTTCTGATTAAATGGAAACCTGGGATTTGATTTTTCTGTGACTTTTCGCCTGTCGTGACAGTGCAAATGAAGAAAATGAATAAAATATTTCAATACGATCCTCCTCTGGCACATTTTATTGCTTTGGCTAATTACAGCAAAAAAGCAAGGGGTGGGTGAAGAGGGAAAAAACAAGAGATTAAGAAGGGCTAGAAAGAAAGAAGAAGGGCATTAAGGAGACAAGTGGGGAATGAGGATAGTTCTTCCTTACCAGCTTGCTTTCTTGACCTAAGGCACTGGTTCTTAACCTTGGGTTACTCAGGAGTTTTGGACTGCAACTCCCAGAAGCCTTCACCACCAACTGTGCTGGCTGGGGTTTCTGGGAGTTGCAGTTCAAAAACATCCGAGTAACAAAGGTTAAGAACCACTGACCTAAGGTATTTTCCAGGTAGAGACAGCTGTTGATAAGGAGATTGGGATGTGAGAGGATAGAAGACTGTTAGCCTATTGAAAAGGGGGACAGAGCTGGGAAGGAGTAGGTGAAAAAAAGAAATATCTGTGTGTCTGGACTTACTACCAGAGAGAGGCATGAAACATGGCCCAAACACCGATGTGTCGTGTTTCATACATCACTCTGGCAGTAGCATTCAATTCTAATTTTTTATGGCTTCCAAAAGTGTTTTAAAGCTGTCTCCCTGCAGCAGAAGAAGCACAATTCTATTACAGCACATTTATCCTCTCTTCTTCCCTAGTTTTTGAGGAAGACAGCTGTTGAGGACCTCCACACATATCCCTTTGTTTTTCTGTGCTGAGGAACAATCATATAGCTACTTGAGAATTTCACCCTTCTTTCTTTCCTTAGGTACCAAGAAGTAGCATAGTTAGGCAGTGGGGGAACTCAGTGGTTTTAAAGTGAATCAAATTCATCATCATACATGTGCATATATAAAGTTAACATACACTCTTGGAAGCAATTGGAAATCTCATACAATACAGGAGCAGCTTCTCCTGAAAATTTCTTAAGCAAATACACCTTCAAGTTACAATGAAGTAAAGCAAATGTTAGGTTCACCATTTGATTGCTTTCCCAGCTCAAAAGCTGAAAGATGCAGCTTTCCCAACCCCCTTTCTGGGCAGAAACAATTAACAGATTGGTTGTTGTGGGTTTTCCAGGCTGTTTGGCCATGTTCTTAAGGTTTTTCTTCCTAATGTTTTGCCAGTCTCTGTGGCCAGCATCAGAGGACAGGAGTCAGAACTGGCAAGACTGGTGAAATGTTAGGAAGAAAAACGCAAGATTGTTGAAATGTTAGGAAGAAAAACCTTAAGAACACTGCCAAACAGCCCAGAAAAACCACAACAGTTATTGGATCTTGGCCGTGAAAGCCTTCAAGAGACCTACAACAGCCATTGGATCTCGGCTGTGAAAGCCTTCGAGAATACAATTAATAGATTCCTGATCTGTCTGACTGGACTTTCTTCAATGCTTCTGATTGGCCAACTTTATTTAACTAAGGACTCATTTTCTCTAGTTCTTCAAAGTTCTTAACCCTTGCCCAGAACTGAATCAAGTTGTCAGTCTGTGAGATAGGATATATAAAGCTATACAACATTAACATGCATCATGGTAATACAAGGCAACATAAGATTTTACTCTAAGATAATGGATGGGCATCAACCTGCTAGCCTGTCATTAGCACAGAGTTGGAAGCTCTGATCACATATTGAAAATTGAACCCAAACATAGGCTAAAGGACTGATGAACTGTGACAAGCAGGAGAGGTGGCAGCCTGTAAATTAACAGTCATCACGGGAGGAGCATATGACTGTGGCACATGGGCAACAGTGTAGCTCTGAGTGGAATTTGGGCAGCTGCAGTCTCAACAAGAATGAATACTTCCTCCTCCAGTGGAAGGTGAACCCTGTTCAAGCTATGGGACCCCAGTGGTAATTTTATAAAAGCAAGCCATTTGTGGAGGAGTGAAATGAAGTCCCATGCACTTAACACAGTTAATCTGGGAAAGAAGAAAAGTCATCATCATAGGCGTCCTTCAGTCTCGAGAGACTATGGTATCGTGCTCTGCATGGAGGACTTGGAACAGCGTCTAGTGTGGCTGAGAAGGCCAATGTGAGAGTGACACTCCCTTCCCCACTGAGGACAAATAAAGTCTGTACCCCATCTAGCTCCCTGATTTTGCTGCTTTCGTGACTGCCTCTTTGCCTCAGCCTGCTGGACAAGGGTCTCTTCAAATTGGGAGAGGCCATAATGCACCACATGCCTCCAGGCTGAGCGCTCAGATGTCAGGGTTTCCAATCTGTTGAGATCCATTTCTAAGGCCTTCAGATCCCGCTTGCAGATATCCTTATATCGCAGCTGTGGTCTCCCTCTGGGGCGATCTCCCTGCACTAATTTTCCATACAGGAGATCCTTTGGAATTCGACCATCAGCCATTCTTACAACATGCCCGAGCCAATGTAGACATTGTGTTTCAGTAATGTATACATGCTACAAATTCCAGCTCGATCTAGGACTACTCTATTTTGAACTTTGTCCTGCCAGGTGATACCAAAAATGCGTCGAAGGCAACACATATGGAACGTGTTCAGCTTTCTCTCCTACCGTGCATGAAAGAAGAAAAGTACCTTTCTAAATATCAGTATTTGGGGGACAGAGGAATATATATACAAGATCCCTGAAACGTACTCAGTCTACACTTCAGGATTTGATAATCAGTAAACTAGGGAAGCCTAGAGAATATGGTTTGCCTGAAGCCATTAGGCATTCCACCCCACCTCACTCCAAATCCGCAATAACAACATATAAGGAAACTTCTGCAATTATCACATTTCAGCTCTTCCTTTGGTACGAAGTTACTTGAGCTTTCAAAAGCCCTTGAATTAGGAGACCCACCATTGGGGGAGTGGTAGTGCTAAATAGTAGATCAGTCTGTCCACTGAGAGAGAGACATAGAGCCTGTTTCAATGGCGCAGTCCTCAGCTGAACCTACAGTAGCATGCTAGTTTAGATGTATCCACCAGCTAATCAATATTACAAAATGCATCAATTAGAAGTAAAGTCCATGTGCCCCATCCTGTTAACAGTTGCAAGTAGGGTAGGTACAGTAGATATTTCCATAAAAAACTAATATCATTTTTAAAAAAATCTCACAAGTTGGAAAAGGATGACATTCACCAGCGGCTCATAATCAAAATGGAGGGAAGGGCTCATTCCATAATAGCTCAGACCACAGCCAGTGTACTTTATTTCCTGTAGCTGTGTTCATTTTTGTTCTAGGTTCTAAAAGAAATTATTGATTAAAAATGGGGGAGGGAGCAGGGAGCTCCTAAGTAATGAATGCATGCAGACTAATCCCAAAAATTATTCATAGAGCATGGACAGAGTTCCTACTCCTGTTCCTCTGAAGATGCCGGCCACAGAGACTGGCGAAATGTCAGGAAGAACAACCTTCAAAACACGGCCAAAGAGCCTGAAAAGCCCACAACAACCATCAGATCCCAGTCGTGAAAGCCTTCAAGAATATATTCCCAAAGTGTTGCTATCACTTGAAAAAAAGTGAAATGTTATCTGATAAGATAAACTGTTAAAAATATTATTTTTGGAGCTCCTCCTGAAATAGCAGAGAATTTCATTTCTCCATAGAAAAATAAATCAGAAAAGAACATTCCCAGTTTTTTTCTGTATATTCATAACAGAAAATAATCTCAGGATTTCTTAAAGACACTTGTGAAAAAGGTTTGAAAAGAAAGCAGTGGCTGTTTTGTGTACAGGGAAAATGTAAAATCTAATTGTTATTCAAAACTTTCTCAAGCATCACTTAAGATGTGTCACAAACAGAGAGGGACATGAAGCGCATCACCAGACTTCTCACAATGTGTGACACACAGCACCTGTGGTGTCATGTGGGCCCATCTTCCCCTCATGGTCAGCTGGCTCACTTACTGTTTTTCATGCACTGTGGGGACCTCCTTCTCAGGAGGCACCCCAGTCCAGGCAGGTGCTTGGGCTGCCCTTCTCTGCCTCCTCAGGCAGCCAATCATCGACTGTGCAGGGAGAATCCCGTCCTGCCTCCTCGTCAGAGCGGTCAGCTGCCAGAGGAAGCACGAAAAGGTAGCCTGAGCAACCCACTGGTGTGTGAAGAATGTTAAGTGGGCCAGTCGGCCAGAGGTAGGAGATGAGCCCATGCAGCACACTTCTTATGAAGGGTTATGAAGCCCTTCGTGCCTATCTCTAATAGTAGGATATCTCTGAATAGGTAGAGACAGTAGGTCTTTCAGAGGCAGGAAGATTTCTTGAACTGAAGCTCTAAGAGCCTGCCTCCATGGCCCCTAAATATGGCCTCACTTTTTCTAAAACACATTGAGCTCAACCCTCTGTTCCTACACACTCATCTTTCTTTGGGATCCATTGCAAGCTGGCCTTGGCCATTTTCTACCCATGACTAGTATCTACTGGACTATCATTCACCCCAGACCAAATGCAGGCCATCACGAGGAGAACGACTGGTGTTGCTACTGAATGCTGCCATAAGGACAACGTTCACAGACTAGCATGAGCTGAAATTTTTGTGAGTATTATATCCGGAACATTAACTTTTAACTCTTTCTCACTCTAGCAGTTTTTCCTCTTCTGCTGAATACCCTGGCCCCATATCTGTTAAGACTGTAAATATAGTGACAACCACTCTGAATGCAAACCTGGCTGGAAAATGAGAGGTACTCTAATTTCAGACTAATAGGCAGAGACCCCGGTAATACCCCCTTGCACAGAAAATGTGGTACAATTATCCTAGCTGGAGAGAGGCAAAATTGACATGACAGTGGTCAGATCGGGCTTTACCCAGGCATGGCCAAAGGAGACCTACTAAGGGGGAAAACTGTGCAACAACAAAATAATGGCTTCAGCTGTATATTGATTACAAACCACGTCAGCACTGTGGCCAAAGTGTGTACTGGATGCTTGAGACTGAGTTTTTCCCAGTTAGAAGAGATACTCATTCCTGGCTTAGTTGACTTCATCTAAAGATAAGCCACATAAGGTTTTGGCTACATGATTCAATTGGATTTCTGTCTCCATTTCTGGGAGGCACTTTTAATTTTTTACCAAAAAAAATAATCTTGATAGTAAAATGCCTCAGTGCTGCTCTAATAGGCTTTTTTTTTTTTAAATGCTCCCTCCCACTGAGAGCAGAACAAGTTTTGAATTTCCTGATATGATTTAGTGGCTCAGCTTAACAATATTGGAAAACTGAAACTGGATAGAAAATTTAAAGCTGCAAGCTCCACTGTGCAAGCAAGCTGGAAATCTGTAGCAAAGACTCAGCACACCCAGACTGTTTCATTCTGTGCCCACACACAAGAATACTGTTTGTGTGTGTGTGTGTGTTTGCTATTGTTACACAAGATTCTACTTCCTGTGACATCACAAAGGGCCTCTCTGTGACTTCTATAAGGGATCTCTCATTATTTGAAGCTTTGACCTCTGAAACTGGGTAAAAAGGAAAAGTTATGACCGGGCAAATCTATTTCTTATTTCGCTTACCCTCTTTTCTCTGGCCTCTACACCATCAAACAAGTATGGTTTTCTGGGTACCCTGTGTTCTCACTGTCTTGCTGTCTTCTCAGTTCTAAGCCGCCTCCCTTCCTTGGGCTTTCTTCTCTCACCCTTAGTCCCTTGAATCCTATTGACCTCTTTTGTAAGGATAAAAAATTGGCAGTATCCTTCCCAGCCTTCCCTATTCCCACAGAGGCTCAGGCAGCCTTTGCCAAAGGACAATGTGCGACAATATGCTGAAAGACTGCCAGAGAACCTTTTGGCATATTACAATAAGGACCAGTATTCTGAGAACATAATTATGGTTTGTTTATAAAGTGTCACTCCAAAGGGGAGAAGAGGCACCTGACTTCCTTTACACCTTGTCCTCTTCAGCTTTGGTATCTGCAATATCTTTCTGGAGGTCAACCTGCCAGTGCTGGGGAAAGGGACAGGAGCATTGCTTGGCGCCATTACTGGCTGGTACTGAGACTTATGCTGGTGGTGACACTCTCATTTCAAGGTTCTGTGATCCTTTGCTTAAGATGATCAGTGGAGGGTTGCTCTCTCACACACACTTGGTTTCCTTAACCCTCAGAGATTCCAGGCATATAACCTTGTACTTATGTGGAATGTATACCCAGCTGTACTATGATGATGGGGAAAGTGGCACCTAGATTTATTTCCAGCACCATCAGTATTTGTTTGACCCAGGAACTATAAAACCATGGCATCCAAGTCCAAAAACATCTTAGTGTGTCTACTTGCCCACAATCCCTCCTATCCTACGCCCTAGCTGTGTATTTGACTCAGCTCCATGTCTCCCCTTTGCTACCCATTTATTCATAAACAGGCTGAGTCGACCTTGAGCTGGATATCTGACCCTGTTGAGATCGCGTTCAGGTCATATACAAAGGATTGAGTGCAGGACTGCAGTTTAATCATTGCAGCAAAAGTCTCATTAATTTATTTAAAAGATATTTTTAAATATATCCCTGATTTCATGCTTTTTTATTTCTCCAAAATATACCACAAACCCAGTTCTTGGAGACATGCTGCATGTTGACTGCAGAAAAACCTTTTGAAGAGAATCTTAAAACGACTCAAAAATTAAAGTTGAGTTGCAAGAGGGTTTTTTAGGTGTTTTTTTTTCAGGGGAAAAAATTAAATTTCTCTACATGGGCTATATGAATAAAAATTGTAATCTGCATACCTAAGAATACAAGAATTAGCACAGTAATTTTATGCAAAGAGATGGCAATAAGATGGAGAGTCTGAACAAATAAATCTACAATGTGTGTCTTTTCCTTAAGGTTTCAAAACTGATTGAATGGACCAAAGCTGCCCTTGAAGAGCCCTAAGGATTTCAGGTGAGCCAGTGTGGAGATATGCTTTCTGTAAAAATGTTTTAGTGGTTTTAGACTAGCAATGCTGAAAAAAGAAACACTAAGTCACTGAAAATTTGGCAATAATTTGCTGAATTTTTTTTAATTTTCCATGTTTTTTTTCCAAAAAAATAATGACAATTTTAAAAGTTATTATAGCAGTCGTTAACTGGCAACAAGATCAATGGGTTTGAACAGATGTTTCAGATTATACTAATATGTTACTTAATGGATTATTCTCAAGAAAAGTTTTAGTAATGTTCAATGATGAGTTTAACTTTGTTCAACTAGTTTTTAAATTTAAATTAGCATATTACTGGTGCGATAATTATGAATAATGTAATTAATTAATGATAACAGATTCCTAATATCAATTAGAGTTAACAATTTGATTTTTGATTGGAAGTTTGAAAGTCTGGATGTGATCCATAGCCAGCGGTTGTGAAGGATACCACTGCATGGAAGAAAACATTGCTCTTTTGTTTATGTTGCACTAATTTTTCCCTCTCCCAAAAAGAGTTATCTGGGACCAATTTGAGTCTGTAAATTATTTTCCCCCATCTCCACTATAATCCCTTTTGAATTTTGAAAAATTAAGGATTGATTGGTTTCCTTGTATCATTTCTGAGATCTCCTTGTTGAATCTCCTAACATTTCCAGATGTCTGGTTCACAGAACCAGATATATTAGCACTATAAATACACAAAATATGAGTAATTGACTCCAAAGTCATTCACAAACCATTAAACAATTTCTCTTCTGGGATATAGAGATGTTTGTAGGCTGGAAAATCATGCTAATCTTCCCACTTCATGATTCTAAAGTGACTTGAAGGAAGATCACTGCTTACAGAGTGTGTTACATCCAATTTAATTTTACCTTCAAGATTTTTTTCGGGGCGGGGAGAGGGTGCTCTGCATGATTTCAAAAAAAGTTCAGAACTCACTGAATGAGAGGTGACAATGGAAGAAAATTAATGACAGGAATCCTATTGGTGTTCATATGAGGTTTGCCTAACATGCGTGTGGTGAGTTCAATGCCCATTTTTTAATCCACTTTCAAATGACACCATAGCTCACTGGCTCAGTTGAAAGATCTATATCTGTATTGAGGACATAACATATGTGTAGAAGGGACTGCAGGACATCCACACTGTCTCTTTCATTCTATGCACACACACACACACAGAGAGAGAGAAGTCTCTTTCATTCTATGCACACATACACAAGAACAGGTACTGTACTAGTTTTGCTATTGTTACACAAGGATCTGCTTCCTGTGACATCACAAAGGGCCTCCCTGTGACGTCTATAAGGAATCTCCCCTTATTTCAAGCTTATTTCAAACTAAGTGAAATGGAAACTGATGGCTTGGCAAATCGATTTCTTTTCTATCTCACTCTCCTTTTTCTGGCCTCTAAATCATCGAACAAGTATGTTTTTCTGAATATCCTGCTTTCCCAAGGTCTTCCTGTCTTCTCAGTTCTAAGCCAGCTCCCTTCCTGGTGCTTACTTCTCTGACTACTTTTTCCTTAAATCCTATTTCCCTGTTTTTTTTTAAGGATGAAAACTTGGTTGTATCCTTCCCAGCCTTTCCTATTGCCCCAGAAGGCTCATGCAACCAAAATTTACTTAAGTATCATCAAGACTGGCTGAGAATCTTTTGGCACATTACACTAAAGACCAGTATTCTGAGAACATAATTGTGGTTTGTTTATAAAGTGTTGCTTCAAAGGAAAGAAGGGACACCTGACTTGTTTTACACCTTTCATCTTCTGTTTTGGTATCTACAGTATCTTTCTGGAGGTCAGCCTGACAGTGCTAGGGGACGAGAGAGAGGAGCATAACCTGCTGTCATTTCTTGTTGGCACTGACGCTTCTTCTGGTGGTGCCAATCTTATTTCAAGGATCTCTGGTCTTCCACATAGGAGGACCAGCTAAGGATTGATCTCTCTTCTTTCATCTCTTTTGCCCTCAGAAATTCCAAACACTTAACCTTGTTTTTACGTGGAATAGATATTCAGCTGTGCTATGATGATGAAAAAGTGGCAACTAGATTTATTTAAAGTACCACCACTAGAGACCCAGTAAATCTAAAGTCATAGCATCGAAGCCCTCCAAAAAACTTAGATTTCCTACTTTCCCACTGACCCTCATTTCCTACACCCCATCTGTATATTTGCCTCAGCTCCATGTCTCACCATAGCTTATATTTATTTATTTGTGGATAAGCTCCACTGGGAGAACCTTTTTCGGCACCCTTTCTGCCAGAAGTTTACACATTGCTGTTATGGGTACCCTTTCCTTTATCAAAGTTAAGAGTTCCGAACACGGGGAGCCAGTATTGGACAGAAGGGTCAAACAGTATGGTATTAATGACAGTACAGCTTGCAGGATCTTCGCTCTGCAGAAGTCAATAAGGATGGGGTGTCCTGGGCCTTCAATCGAAAGAATCTAATTATTTATCCTATGGCTAACCATTGTTCTCATTGCAGCGTGCTCGCCCACACGAGTCAACATGAACTTGACATCACAGAAGACCAACTGGCAACTGCAATTGTGTATTTCACCGGTGTGGTAACAAACTGTTATACTGTAGAAAATCACCTGGAATGCTTTAACACAGAGGTAAACATTTATAAAGTATAAGTATCTGGCACTTTGTTTGCAGAAGTGGAAATTGTTTTTTTTTTTTAATATGGCTACAGTCAGGGGTTAGCAAGATCCACACCATTCACTCAAATACAGATTGGTCAGTCTCTTTGCGCATGTTTTTACACATGCATGTGCATTCTCTGTATCCCATCTACATTCCCTTCCCATCATTTCTCTGTATCAAGTTACAACCTTGCATTTTCACTTCCTGCATGAATGTTTACATGCATTTTGCTCACATAGTTTTCATTATGGGCACATTTATTTAGAAACCTTTTCTAAGGTTGCACATTTCCCTCATGGACAACAGTGCATTTATGTGTGCTTTTCAATTGTGAAGTTAATTGCTTTAATTGTTGTTGTTGTTGTTGTTGCTACTGCTGCCACCACTGCTCCTGCTGTTCATATACTGCTCCATAGAGCACACTCGGGGTGGTTTACAACATAATTAATCAAGGAACACTTTGCCCCCCAGCAAGCTGGTTGCTCATTTTACTGACCTCAGAAGTATGGAAAGCTATTTGAACCTGTCGAAACTGCATGAGCAGAGGCTTGACTGCAGGACTGCAGCTTAACCACTGCATCAAAAAGCTTGCTATTTTTTAAAAAAATATATATAATTTTATAATTTATTTATTTATTTATTTATTTATTTATTTATTTATTTATTTGTTTGTTTGTTTGTTTGTTTGTTTGTTTGTTTGTTTATTTATTTATTTATTTGTTTGTTTGTTTGTTTATTTATTCCCTGCCCATCTAGTCAACTGACTACTCTGGGCAGCTTCCAACATATATAATAACAGTATAAAATATAACGGCATTTAAACATCAATAATAGAGTTATTCAAGATGGAAAGAAGTAGGGAAAAAAATCAAATAATACCTGAGGGGAAGGCAGTAAATCTTGTGAGGAGTGTGAAATTGATAATTTTGAAGAGAATCTCAAAAGGGCTCAAAAATTAAAGTTGCGTTGCAAGAGTTTTTTGTTGTTGTTGTTGTTGTTGTTGTTTCATTTTCTTCAGAGGCCAAAAACAAAAAAAGTCTCTACATATGTGATACAAAGAAAAATAAATCTATATAACTAAGATTACAAGAATTCACATAGTTACTTTTACACAAAGAGATGGCTATCAGAGGTAGAGTCAGAACAAATAAAGCTACAATAATGTGTGTCTTTTCTTTAAGGTTACAAAACTGATTGAACAGATTGAAACTGCCCTTGAAGAGTACTAAGGATTTCAGGTGAGCTAGTGCAGAAATATGCTTTCTGTAAAAAGGTTTTTAGTGGTTTTGGACTAGCAATGCTGATGAAAGAATCAATGTCATTGAAAATTTGCCGAAAAATTTTATTTTATCATTTTTTTAAAATTAAGGACAATTTAAAAAACTATTATAGCAATCAGTAACAGGCAACAAGATCAATAGGTTGATGAGATGCTTCAAATTATATTGTGTTGTTCACATTATAACCAGATATATTAGCACTGTAAAAATGCAAAATATGAATAATTTTGTCCAAAGAAGTTCATGAGCCATTTAAAAAATGATATCAAAAATGGGCAGAACTCACTGAATGAGAGGTGACACTGGAAGAAAATTATTGAATCTTATTCATATTCATATGAGGTCTGCCTAACTTGTCAGAGTTAATTATGGAGAATGGTTGATGTGCTATTATGCATCTTGGTTGTGTCCTCCCCCTGACTGCTCAACCAAGATGCATCATGGGCACCTTATGAACAGTTGGCCATGACAGGTTACACAAACCATAGGCAAACTCTAACAGCATTTCAGCCAAAAATCATTTGTAGTGGGGAAAAATTCTCTCTCAAATCAATTTGCACAATTCCGCCTAGAGATGTAGATAGGAGTCTGCCAGACAAATATTGAAGGAACCTTTGGTCCTGTGATATGGCCAATGAGTACTCCACCTCGCCCTTTGTCCAATGTTAGTTTCTCCCTATTCATCTGTCCTTAATTTTAGTTCCTTCAAATTCCCAAAGAAGAGAAGAATCACCGTTTCAAAGTTCACATGTAGTAGCATACGGTTTCTAAAAGACGTTGTAATTGATCAACACTAAGGTTCTCACTCAGGGCTGAAAATAATGTTTTGCTTTTCCCCCCTCCTCTAGATGAGCAATGTGAGAATGCTGGAGCTAAAGGCCCAATATGCCAAGGCACCCCTGGTGTTGCTTGCTTTCTGATTAAATGGAAACCTGGAATTTGATTTTTTTTCTGTGACTTTTCACCTTCCATGACAGTGCAAATGAAGAAAATGAATAAAATATTTCAATACGATCCTCCTCTGGCACATTTTATTGCTTTGGCTAATTACAGCAAAAAAGCAAGGGGTGGGTGAAGAGGGAAAAAACAAGAGATTAAGAAGGGCTAGAAAGAAAGAAGAAGGGCATTAAGGAGACAAATGGGGAATGGGGATAGTTTTTTCCTTACCAGCTTGCTTTCTTGGCCTGAGGTATTTTCTAGGTGGAGACAGCTGTTGATAAGGACATTGGGATGTGAGAGGAAAGCAGACAGCCTATGGAAAAGGGGGACAGAATTGGGAAGGTGTGGGTGAAAAAGAGAGAGAGAGATCCACATGTCTGGATCTGATTTAGATTGGGGCATGCCCTGTTTCATACTTCTCTAATGTGGTAGCATTCAATTCAAATGATTTATGGCTGCCACAACATTTTTATAGATGTCTCCCTGCAGCAGAAGAAGCAGAACTTGATTATAGCACTTTTAACCTCCTCATTACTCAGGGACCAAGATAGCTGCTGAGGGCCTCCACAGGTTCCCTTTGTTTTTCTGTACTGAGGAAAAATCATCCAGCTACTTGAGAATTTATAAGTTGGAAATCTTTGGCCCAAATGTTCCCAAATATGGCACAGAGCAAGACCAGATTGTCTGCTACATTTGGGCCATATTTGGTGCTCATCTGGAGTGCAATTTCGAAGTTATAATTTCTGGGGGGAGGGTCCTCTCCTGGTTTTAAAATTACCTTGCAGAATCTTGATTTGCTGTGCTAAGCAATAACACAACTGCAGTCTTGTGCAGTGATAATAGATCAAAAACGAGTTTATTTTAAAAAGGACCAAAAGAGCAGGAAGGGTCAAGATTACAAGGAAGATTACAAGGAAGGGTCAAGATTGCTCTTACTATATAACTGAAATCCCATTTACTTTACTTCTTTCCTTACAGCTGAAGCACTTAGCCCACCTCAGCTGAAGCCAAACAATTTGATACCTGTTATAAATACTTCAAAACTATGTTGACACCAGATAGATTTACTGTATAACTGTATGGGGTAAAAAAATATAAGAGGTTAAATCCTTTTTAACAGATGGAGGTGATCTCCTACAGGCCTCTCTTATCCGATTACACAAAGGAGTTAAACATTTTTGTTACCCATTAAACATTTTCCAATCTTCTCTGTAAACAATTGTCTTTTGCCAGCATGATAAAGAGTTCATATACTTTAGAAATGATTGAGAAATCAGAAAACCTTGTGGAAGAGGTTAAGTACCTCACTTCCTTATCTAAATATAACTCATTGGTCTGTTGTCATATAGAATTTGATTAAACAGACTCATGAGTGAATAGTTGTATTCTGTCAACGTATACTAATGATTTAGAGACACAGACTCACAAATAAAGATCTACGGATCTGTAGTTTTGGACTACAACTCCCAGAACTTCCCAGACTACATGTTGTTTCACCAGGAGAAACGGAGCCACATAATGAAGAGGCAGGGTAAAATGTAAGCAGGCGTTGTTGTGATGAGGAGAACAAAGAGAGAAAGGAAGAACGAGAGAGGGGGGAGAAGCAGGCAAAAAAATAAAATAAAGCCCTAATGAAAACATTGACTCAAAAGAGAAAGCATGAGTCAGACAGACAGACAGAGGGTATGACTACATGGGGAAATGGACTGCAGTTTTGACCACGTCTGGTACAAACTATTTCCTGAAGATCTCACAATGTACAGGGAAATGCGCTCCATCCCAAATCTGATCCATACCCAAGCTGGACTTTTTGGTCCAGCTGTAGAGCTTCTACTTTGAGAGGCCAGGTTGGAGCGATTTCCGGACAGACAGAAGGGTCACTTTAAGAGTGATAGGGTAGGATCAGATGGAGTATTTGGAGGAGGCTGGGGATGGTCAAATAGGGTCACTTCGAGATCAGGTGGAGGTGCAATACCTCACATCCATGTAAAGCATCCTGGAGTTCAAGCAACTTGTTTGGTCCAACTCCTTCTGGTTTCAATTTCTAATATCATGAAGTGCTTAATAAGGGAGCCTTTTCAAGGTATTGGCAAATTGAACATTTCCTCTGCCCCTGACAGAGAAGCAGGAGAAGTGATTGTTTTTAAGGTCATTGCTGGTGCGCTTTATAGGTAAAAGCGAACTAGAAATAAAAAGTTTTTTAAAAAGGCAAAAACATGGTGTTATCTTAAAAACTAACTTTTATATATATTAATATAATATAAAATTAATATTTTAATGTGAGCATTCATGAACAAGTCCACTTCATCAGATCTAAGAGAAAGAGATTACTTTCCAAGACAATCTGAGGCTTCAAATATCATCAGAATGTTGGGCCCCCCAAGTCATTCATACCACATCTTTTCGTTGGTATAATGCATCCAATTTTTTTATTTAAAAAATTTATCAAAAGAAATATTTTCTCATCTTAAAGGGATGGTCAAGAAACTGCCAGCAGCTGAATCCACTTCATCCCTTAAGATGAGGTGAATAAATTATTATTTTTTATAACTGATGCAGTACATCAGTGATGGTCTATTACAGTCTTTTTTTAAAAAAAAAATCACTTCCGTCTGTCCCCCTTCTGAGCAGCAGAAGATGTGTTCGATTTGCAAATATTCTGAAGTGGCTTGCTTATTAAACCACCTCATGGTACCGTACATTCAAACAGGAATGAGCTTTTACAGCCAGAAGGCTCACTTTTGATACATTTGATCTCATATGCTAGAAATGGACCAGACCAGAATGATCTTACCCTCACACACACAAAAAGGAGAAGCTCAGAAAGGTGCCAGTAGTAATGCTACAGGGACAGTTTGGTTTGCTCCAGTGATTATGTGCTGGCTTGGAAGGAGCCATATTGTTACCTTTCCAAGGCAATCTGGGGCTTCAAACATCATCAGAATGTTGTGGACCAGACACGCAATGGCCTCCAAGTCATTCATACCACATCTTTAATAGGGCTGCCACAGCATTTATGGCTGAGGCAAGATGTCTCATCTCCTCGCTTTGACCGTGGTGGAAGTTATAGGTCAGTGGTTTCTAACTGTGGGTCCCCAGATGTTCTTGGACTAAAACTCCCAGATGCCTTCACCATTAGCTCTACTGGCCAGAATTTCTGGGAGACGTGGCCCAAGAACATCTGGGGACCCAAGGTTCTAAATACTGTTCTAAATGTGGGAAACAAGTTCATTTTGTCTCTCCCTAGTCATGAGGTAATGATTCCAGTGGCAACACTTGTTATGGTTCTCTCTGCTTTGCCAACCACCCAGAAAAAGCAAAAACGCCAAAGAATGACTGAATCCTCATTTGAGCTATGAAAGAAAACAGGTTTTCAATTACTCATAAGACTAAAGTCTGCTTCTCTCAATTCTGTAAGCAATGACTTTCTTAATCTCACCCCCTACAGCCTCTTTTGGAACAGGATCTCTTAGCAAACATGTTTTAAAATATACTGTGAATTATTAGCAGGAATCACCAACAAATCATACCATGTCCTTTGAATATACAAGCTTGTGATTAACCAAGAATATAGACACTGGGAAATAGAAAACTCTTTCTGCCCCATTGCTTTTTCCACTGTGAATTCATATAGTTCTGCATAGCCTGAACGACACTGAAGCATGAAGTGGGTAACATTCACTTGCCTTCTCCTGTTAAGCCTTGCTGAATCAGACCCTTTAACTGAAAAAGCAGGTAAGAAATTTGTTTTTAGATGTGGATGGTGCAATTCTACGTATGTCTATTCAAAAAACAGTCAGTTCTATTAATTGCACTGAGACTTACTCCAAATAAATGAATATGTGTTGCACTGCTGGATATCTCTGTGACATAGTTATATGGGTGCAAAACCAAAGACTCGGATTCAGTTCCCCACTGTGCCTCCTTGACAGAGGCTGGACTTGATAAATCCTAGGATCAATTCCAGCTCTACAGTTCTAAGATGATATCTTAATTTGATTAAGTATAATTTCCATGTTATAGCTAACAGGCAGTTAATTCAAATTGGTCAGACTTTTAAAACTGGGTTTCCAATGTTATTGTTGTTGTTTAAGAAAAAGATTGGAATAGAAACCAGGCTTGTGAATGCAAACAACACAATTAGTTTTTGGCAAAAGTAGGAAGTTGCTTAGTCAAGGAAAACATATGTTCTTTCCTTTTGTTTTGTTTTTATTTAAAATTGGGACTCACATAAATGTCAACGTGGCTTTGCTGTGGATGTATATGTATCAGCCAATTGATTAAATGAGGAAAAATGAACATCAAAATGAAAAAAAAATCATTGGCTTCAACAGCCTTGAGGACGTATCATTTTCACATATCTTACTACTCACTGAAAAAAGAAATATATTTCTCTCTTCAAAATTGCTGGTGTTAGGGACGTTGGACTCCTGTGTAGTTCAAAATTCATGTATACCTCTTATGCCCTCCAAAATATAACTACAAAGAGTAAACAGTTGATTAATACACACATACACACTGAGAACAAATGACAGATGTAGAGCATGCCCCAGTACACTCCCCAGTTACCCCAGTTATGTGGAATGGCCATGCCAGGAGAGGGGGGCTAGCTGGACTGCTGCCATCAGACCGGAGGTTGCCTCATCATCAACAACAGGGGCCTCAAGATGTCCAAGATCCACCTTTCTCAGGCCACTTCCTGGAGACAAATAGCGGCACAGCATTTATTGAATGATTATTCATTGGTGAAACTTTTACTGTTTTTATTTATTGGAATATTTATTATTTATTGAAAAAATCCATGTATAACCAATACTGTGCTGCTCAAACCCATGCAATTTAAGGGAGATGTCTAATCTTTGTGTTGATAACTTGCGCATCTGCGAAGGTTCGGCACTTCACAAAGGGACAGAGCTGCCTGGGCAGGGACTCTTTGCCCACGCACTCGAAGAGGGGCCTTGTGAGAGGATGGGCAGGCCTTCCTTAATGCAAAATTTTAAAACGAGCCTCGTGACCTGCGCCGTCCTCTTCCCTGCCTGACAGGTGGTCAACCCTCCCACCCAGGATATGAATGAGAGTATCTGGTCACTGTGGGGCCAGATGGGAATTTTTGACCTGTGCCAAATTGGCTCTATGCTGCAGGTGGTTTTTCGCCCATCCCATTCTTATTCCCAGGGATCACATGGGAGCTAAATAGGTCACTGGCAGTAAAGTCATGATAGTTGGTAGTGCTAAACAGGGTAGGCTCAGGTGAGTTTCAAGGTGGGCACCCAGAGTATGCAAGGGATCCTTCCTCTCAGAATTGCATTTAGAGAGGTTTAGCTGAGGGGAGAGAAAACAGGGAGACACCAGGGGGCACTGGGCACTTGGAGTCTAGAGACATGGGTAGAGGGTGGTCCCAGGTATTCCAGGTGGATGGCCAAGAGGCTGCTGGACAGTATGACAGCACCCTCTTGGGATAGGAACTCCCATGGCCAAAGGTCTGTACCGGTTGGTGAAGAATGGCAAGGGTTCCAGACCTGCTAGCAATATGGCTGACCCCTTGTAAAAGGGGGTAGTTAAAAGTTACATAGTTAATAAAGTTGTGGCCCTAGTTCTAACCCATATTGCTGTGTCTCATCTCATTATTTCAGGTTGGGTGGGCAAAGAGGATGTTTCAAAGCAATAACACACAGAAAAAGCACATGTTGCAAAATGTGAATGGTGAAAATGGGCATCATTGTTAAACATACTTTCATCAAGTTGCATAATCAAATGAATGTGGAGACCAGAAAACATCCATTGAAATGCCTGTTTAGTTTTAATGTGGAATTTTAAAAAGGAGGGAAGGATTCAAAGCAAGCATGAGAAGAAAATGCAGATGGGGTTTGAAGAAACACTGTGAAAGCAAAGTCAGAGTTTTTGCATTCCTGCAAACTTGATGCATTTCCTATCAAGATGCCTCCTCAGTGGTCTTGAAAATTGTATTCAGCTGCTTAATTCTGCCTTGTTTCCAGCAAATGTCAAAGTCCACTGGCTGCTCCTTTTTAATCTGCAAGAAACACCTGGAATGTTCTTAATAACATTGTTTGATGACTTCATGGTTATCTTCTTTCCAGAAACAGTGTCCCTGTATGACACTACATTCTCCTCATTTCAGGAGCTTACAGAAATGTAAGTATCTTAAAATACTTGGGGAGAGGGAATTCAGTTGGTTTGATCCAAACATTTAAAGAAGGATAATAGATAAAGATACATAGAACTACTGGGAAAATAATGAGTGATCTTGACAACAATAAAGTGTGCTACTTATATACCACCCCATCACACTCAAAGCACTCTCTGGATGGTTTACAGTTTAATGATGTGGGCTACACACTGTCCATCGCCAGTGAGAAGGGTACTCCATTTAATGACCTCGGAAGAATGGAAGGTTAAGTCAACCTCAAGCTGGCTACCTGAGCCCATTGGGATAGAACTCAGGCCGTGAGCAGAGTCTTGACTGCAGCACTGCAATTTAACCACTGTGTCACAAAGTTCATAAAGAACCATTCACTCATCAAATGAGGTTAGAGAAAGTGTCAAATATGGTTGGCCTCTACTATGAATTGATTAAACATTTAGACTGTTACTTAAAATGTCTAATCAACCAACAAAGTCTGTACACACACACACACATACGCGCACACTCACGCACGCACGCACGCACGCACGCGCGCGCACACACACACACACACACACACACAAACATGTAATTAGGAACTCTTCTTAAAAGTAACATATTTAAATAATTATACTGCACACAATTAAAATAACAGCGGCAGGAGGGATTAAGTCTTCTTCGTCAAAAAAGAGGAAGAGTCCGCCTTTTTACAGAGTGGCTCAGAGACAAGCATACATCATCTAAAAATACCTTTAAAACAACCTGAATCCTGAACTGAATCTGTACAACTCAAACAAATTCAAATATAACCTGAATTGGATTAGATCAGTAAAAGATATAAACAACGCTGAAACAGTGTGTCTCCAAAATGCTGAAAAACATTTTTAAGTTGGTTTTAATCTTAGTAAATATAGTTTTTAATGGTATATTTAAAACTGTGATGGTTTATACAGGTTTAAGGATTGTGAGCTACCTTGGCCCCCTATTGAGAGAAAAGTGGTGTATAAATAATATAAATAGAGTAAATAAAACAATGCCTGATATGGAAAACACTGGAACTGGGAGTGATGGAAGGGAAATGGAATTTGTTCATTGACAGCTCCAGCAACTAAAATCTCAGCAACACTCCCCAATCAAAGTGTAGAGGTTGAGAGTGAAAGGAACTGGAGCTGCCCATGGAAGCCCACAGCAAAATATACCACTTAGCCCAAACTTTTCTGTCTTCTTATTTGTTATTTTTCTTTTGTTTTTGCCCGATCTGCATTCCTTTCATCTCTTGCTTTTTCTTTTTTTAGGTGATGAAGTGTTTTTATTTATTTATTTATTGATTGATTGATTGATTGATTGATTGATTGATTGATTGATTGATTGATTGATTGATTGATTGATTGATTGATTTTATATCCTGCCTATCTGGTCGTGTCAGGACCACTCTAGGCGGCTAACAACATTAAAATCATACAATAGATATACACATAAAACAATTTTACATGAGAAAGATATTAAACAGAATAGGAAAACTGAGGAGAAGGGAAAAGGGGTGTCAGGAAGTATCTGATGGGAAGGCCTGCCTAAACATCCATGTTTTTAATTGGTTCTTAAAAGAACCCAGCGAGGGGGCCACGCGAATATCAGGAGGTAACTTGTTCCAGAGGCGAGAAGCCACCGCCGAGAAGGCCCGATTTCTTGTCTTCTCCTTCCGGGCCTCCCTCGGCGTTAGGCTCTTCAGCCTCACCTCCTGGCTCGCGCGAGTGACACGGGTAGTTCTTGGCGGGAGAAGGCATTCCGCCAAGTACCGAGGTCCTAAACCGTTTAGGGCTTTATATGTAAGCATCAGCACTTTAATGCAGCTTTGTTGGAATCTGGGAGCCAGTTTTGTGTTTGCTGTGCTTCTTGTTCTTCCATCCTGCCAGAGTCCAGACAAAACAAACAAAAATCCACACAAAAGGGCAGAGTTCAGGGATGGGGTTGAAAGGTGGTTAAGGGGATGGGCAGAGAGCTAGAATACAGGAGGCTACTAAATCAAGCTAAGCTATCTCTTCCAGGCAGGGAAGCAAAACCATTGTTCCCTCAGTTTAGGAAGTACCACGCCAGAGCCCCTGAGAACATCTCTTATGTTCAGCATTGAAATAACACGCAGAGTAGTTCATGCCAGTTTGTTTATCAGCTGAAGTGTTGTTTGGTGCTTCAAAGGCCTGCCTCCTCTGTGTGCTGCTTCTGAGTGGGCACCCACCAGAGGAGGCAGGGCTCTGAAGTTCCAGACATCTGTTTGGCTGATAAATGAACCAGCATGACCTGCTTAACTGGTGGTTCATGTCCATCTCCAGTTCTGAATACCTAGTACAATGGTCACTAGAAAATACCCATGCCAGGAAGGGAGAGCCACTTATTGGATGCATTGTGCTTGACCCATCACAACTCGATGTAGCATGGCAGTAGAAGTGCTGCAGAAGCAAAATATTGTGGTGGCCATAGATGAGGTATTGTAATGAGAAGCACAGACTTGTATGATATAAACTGGGAAATAAAGAAGGGAAAGCCTGCAACAGTGCTATGGATGCTACTTCATAGTCAGTGCTCAGCAGCGCTGTAAAAAGAGCAGGCTCATTGCGCCTTTGACCTGGGGTGCCAAATGCAGAGGGCATAACAATTTGGTGCTGGAAGAGCACCCTCCCATTTTCCCTGAAGGTGTAAGGTGCAAAATCTGATCTGAAGGGAACTATCCACAGGCCTACCAACATGGCTGTTGCACATTTAGGCTAATGCATTCCTCTCTGTTCCTCTGTTCTCTTCTGTATATGCCTATGTCGTGTGATCTAAGAAAAGTGGTAGGTCAGAGAAGCCCCTGGCACCAAAATTGCTAGTTTTAGCTCTATGTAACTTAGATTAGGCATCCTTCAGTCTCAAGAGGCTATAGTAACATGCTCTGAATAGAGGACTTAGAACAGTGTCTAGTGTGGCTGAGACGGCCAATTCAAGAGTGACAATTCTTCTGTATATGCCTATGTTGTGTGATCTAAGAAAAGTGGTAGGTCAGAGAAGCCCCTGGCACCAAAATTGCTAGTTTTAGCTCTATGTAACTTAGATTAGGCATCCTTCAGTCTCAAGAGGCTATAGTAACATGCTCTGAATAGAGGACTTAGAACAGTGTCTAGTGTGGCTGAGACGGCCAATTCAAGAGTGACAATCCCTTCCACACTGAAGACAAATACCATCTGTCCCCTGTCCAGCTCCCTGGTTTTGCTGCTTTCAGGACTGCCTCTTTGCCTCGGCCTGCTGCACAAGTGTCTCTTCAAACTGGGAGAGGCCATGATGCACTGCCTGCCTCCAGGCTGAACACTCAGATGTCAAGATTTCCTATCTGTTGAGGTCCATTCCTCAGGCCTCCAGATCCCACTTGCAGATATCCTTATATCGCAGCTGTGGTCTCCCTCTGGGGCAAATTCCCTGCACTAATTCTCCATACAGGAGATCTTTTGGAATCTGACCATCAGCCATTCTCATGACATGCTGATGATCTATGTAACTAAATCCCAGAAAAAAAGGTTCATTGATGGCAGTTCATATTAGAGATCCTTCACTCTGGATTTGAATTGGCATAAGACGCACCTTTCCATAAGACGCACTGATTTTTTAGGAGAAGAAAACAGGAAAATATAATATGTTTTCTTCGCTCCATAAGATGCACAGACTTTCCACCCCGCTGTTTTGTGGGAAAAAAGTGAGTCTTATGGTGCAAAAAATACAGTAACTAAATCCCAGGAAAAAAAGGTTCATTGATGGCAGTTTATAGTAGAGATCCTTCACTCTGGATTTGAATTGGGTTGATGCAGACCTGTATAGCTCAATGTGAATCAGCCTGACCAGGACTCAGGATTCAGACAGCTCTGTTGCACAGCTGATTTCTGATCTCTTCCCAAAAGACACTAGAGCCTGCATTGTTGAAGAATCCTGCTGATGCATTTTCCCCCTTTCTCTACATCATATTTTGAGAGCCCCAGTTGCAGAGAATTACCTTGACTACACATTCCCTTGAATCTCCTGTAGCCAAGCTTGTACTAGCAGAGTGCTTTCAAGCAAGAATCATTACCCAGTGATCTATATTACTTGCTGTCTCCTTATAGTCAACAAGAACAGGAGTAAGGGCTGTCACTGGAGACATTTTGCCACTATAGCTTATTCCTCTACACTGGTAGTAGTCAAGCCAGGGAAGGGGTAAGGAGACAATAACTTATTACGCCCTTACAAATGCTGTTGTTTGTCTTTAGCATGCTGCATAGCAGAACATTATAAGTAGATCTACTTATCTGTCGTATACTGTATGCTCCTTTTGCAGCGTTGGACTCTTTTATTCCCAGACCATACAGAAGGCCACATATGAAGAGCTAACAAAAATCACACATGGAGTCACAGAGCTTGCAAAGAAATGTACTGTTGATAAAGAAGCAGATTCAGAATGTGCGAAGCCTTTGGTAAGCCTTTAGAGTGAAATGTTGTGAAACCTCTTGGGATTGATAATATAATGTATTGTTTGGTGTCTAGGTTCATCACACACTTGAGGTCCGTCACTTGATGTTTCACTGATTTGATATGCTCCATGCTTAGAATCATCATCATTGTGTGCTGTCAAGTCAATTCCAACTTATGGCAACCCAATACAGAGTTTTCTAAGTAAAATGGTTTATTGGTTGTTGTGGGTTTTTCGGGCTCTTTGGCCGTGTTCTGAAGATTGTTCTTCCTAACGTTTTGGCAGTCTCTGTGGCCGGCATCTTCAGAGGACAGCACTCTGTGCTCTGGTGTAGTTGGCTTGGGAACAACCTTCAGAAGACGGCCAAAGAGCCTGAACAACCCACAACAACCATTAGATCCCGGGCATGAAAGCCTTCCTGAATAAAATGGTTTATCATTCCCTTCTACCAAGGGTGCTCTGGGACTGTGCAGCTTGCCCAAGACCAAATAGGCTGGCTCTTCTCCCAAGAGACACAGTGGAGAATCAAACTCTCAACCTCTGGCTCCACTGCCAGATACCTAAATCATTGAGCTACCCAGCCATAGAATAGCATCAGGCAAAATGAAAGGAGAAGGCAAACCATTGATATTATTATTATTTATTTTGTGCAAAATGAAAAGCTTCTGCACAAAGCCACTGCTAGAACTTAAAAGGAAAAATATCCCATATTATTTTTGTGTAGATGTCCTCAATTTTTCACTAAGTACAAAATAGTGGTTCCTTTAGGTCCTCTAAACCACTTATCTTGCACACAATATAAGCTTTTAAAGCAAAATATGAGACTTTCGCACAATTTTCCACCTTAATACTGCTGCTGATGGAAAACAACCAGTGGACTTTAAGCTACTGTACGGGAGCAGAGAATCTTGCAGTGATTGACTGCATTCTCAACAGGGTGTTTTATTGTGTCAAAACACTCCTCTCCATGAAGGTTAAGACCTTTATGTATAACTATTCATTGCATCCCTTTTGAAAACTGCCTTTCTAGATCATACCAAGGTCAAGGTACACTCTTCTCCATGAAGGTTAAGACTATGTATGAGTGTTCGTTGCATCCCTTTTAAAATCTGCCTTTCTAGATCATACCAAGGTCAAGGAGAAGCATGAGATTGCAAACAGAGAAATATTAGCATATGAATTTTACAGGTCATGGGGAAATATGCACAATGAGGTAAGCTTTGAAATGTCTTTTATTTAACAATACCAGGAATGTCATTCCAGAGATATCAGCACAGTCTACAGCTCCCAGATTATAGGGAAAGTCAGCCAAGAAAAGTCGTTTCCAGGCAGTGCATGATTCAATTGAGAAACCTAACCTCTACTATTGACCTCGAAACTGGACAGATTAGATTGAGGTTGGTGTTCTCCGTTGAGCTGAGGGCCATTTTCCAGATGTTCTGACAATCACTAGCTGCACTCCCAGGGGGTGGGGCTAAAAGTGGAGGGGTGTGGACAAAGAAGCTGATTTGCATTTCATTCAGAAGCAAAAGCCTGTGTGAACAAACTATGCTAGCACATCATTACACTGCTTCGCCCGCCCCCAATTTGGAAAATGTTCTGTGGAGACTCCATTCTGTAGAAGCATCAGCACCAAAGTTCAAGTAAAACAAAAAACATAAAGAGGGTAAGTTTTCTTGCCTTTGGTTTGAGGGGTCCTAAGTTCCGCAAGATACTGAGTGCTGTTGGCTATTCTTAAGGAGAATAAATTACAAACGACAAGTAAACTTCGCCCTGTTTAGCGCTTCCTCCACTGTCAGTGACACCATCCTAGTTATATTGAACAGCAGCAGCTGGGTTGTGATTGTAACTCCTCTTCCCTCATTTTGTTCATTGGAAAACCTGATTCTTTTCAGGATGTGTTGTCAAACCCTGGATGCTCTTTCCAATCTGTATGAACATCCCGGTGATTCCTAGTGCATTCTTATATATGAACGCCTTGTGTAGCCCTTGAGATGTTGGGATTATCAACATTAAAGCAATATTAAAGCACTTTTTCTCTCCTCTCCATTAGGAAACACTTCTCTTTGATCAGTGTTGTCGTGAAGAAGGGCTCGCTGAGAAATACGGGTTTACAGAGTGCTGTGATAAAGCCAATGTGGAAAGAAAGGAATGTTTCCTATCCCTTAAAAATACTAGCCAAAATTTCCTTCCACCTTTTGAAGAGCCACCTGTAGAACAGCGCTGCAAAGCCCTTCATGAAGATGCAGCTGCGACTCTTGGCCTGTACGTAAATACTATATTTTCTCGTGTATAAGATGCCCCTATGTATAAAATGACCCCCCCTTTTCTAACCCCAAATTAGAAAATTTGCAGCCCTTTGATCAAAGTGAAGCCCTTTGATCGCTGCTTTTCCCCTCCTTTTGCTAAGCTCCATGGAGGCTTAGCAAGCGGAGGGCGAAAGCAGCAATCAAAGCATGACAAGATCACTTTGATGCCTTACCCCTCCACTTCTTTTTCTTTTCTCCTCAGCTTACTTCCATGTATAAGACAACTCACAATTTTTAGTCTAAGGACTTTAGACAAAAGTATCATCTTATATACAGAAAAAATACGGTAGATCCAGTGCTCTCTAAGTCCTAAGTGGTATCTCCTTGTGGGGCCACAGAAGGTTCCTATAAATGTGTCATTTTGCCCCTCAACAAAAGATAAAGATGTAAAATGCAGTGATGGGTTTTCACTCGGGCCACAGTTCTATTTCACTGTATTTAACAGATTTCCCTTAATGGAGATGGAAGAGTAGAATCGGTGGTCTGCCTGACCACCTTTTCTGTTTGGTAAGGGTCAGGTTCTCACCTCAATGCTTGCTCTACACCAACAGCCCAGCACTGGTCATCCATCATCTGTGAGACATTCCAGATTCCTTTTCCTTCCCAAGCCTCATGTCTTTAACAAAGTTGCTGCTTATGCTGGCCTCAGAGAAGGGTATCCCAGGTCAGTCCCTGAATCCCAACATCTCAAGTGCTACGTGTTGACCCATCTCATGGTAGAATAATGCCTTTACAGCTCGCCATTGCTCTTCTCACCTTTTCTACATTACCCATACTATTTAAATGACTCACCCTCCCAGTCCACCCCGATTGAAAAAATAGGGGAAGCTATTTCATGTCTCCCAATTTCTGCCCCTTATGCTGACAGCACAGCAATGCTACGAGTGTCACCAGGCCTCAGCTTGCCTCTTCCTGAGGTAGGGACAAATATGCTGTGCTGTCAATGCTGTAAATTCAATTAGGATGGCAGGAGATCCCCTATTTATGTTTATATCATCTACCGGATCTCAAATAGTAAGTACTGTGGCATGTCAGCTGCTTCCTACTATCAATGCAGAACCTGCAACAAAATATTGCAATACAAAGGGCAGCCAAGGTCAGGGTTCCAGCCAGTCATGCCATCCTCCAAGATCTTGGCTGAAACCCAATAGCTTGAATCAATGTAACTTGACTCTCCAAATCCACACTGATTCAGTTGGCCTGCTCTAGTTGCACTTAGTACTGGATTTCAATCATGACTTTCTATTCCCACCCACCCCGGATTTCACTTCTCATTGTTTCTTGCAATTGCAAATTATTATCTGTCTTAGAAACCTTCCTGTCTCATGACCAGTTGCATGACCAGCCTTGCGCCCTTTACAAGAGTGAGCACAAATGTTGCAGTGGAGGATATACTTACACAGTTTCACAACCATTCCACCTTCCGACCATATAACACTCAACCTTGTAATAAATTGCAAGAAAGATTAATGCAAGAAACATTTTTTAAATAGTTACATCTATGAAGTCGGCAGAAGATTCCCGGTCTCCCGTATATCCATGCTCCTTGATTTTATCCATATATATGAGAAAGTGATGACAAACTGCTGCCAGAAAGATGACGGGAATGTGTGCTTCGATGAAAAGGTACTGTTAAGTTCTATAAAAGTGCTGCTCAAAAGGCTCTCTTCTTCTTTCTACAGTGTGTGTGTTGGGGGTGGGCACTTTCACCGCATTTTGTCTCCCTCAGCTAGTTTAGGAAAAATTATCCTGCATCCAGTAGAGAGTCCCAGGTAGCTTTTTTCTGCTCAACCACACAGGCACACAAACATGAACACATACACTTTTTAAGTCAAATATTTTGGGTCGGGAGGCATAGAAGCCAGTGTAATCCTCCAAATTTCTGGGATGGGCATATGTGGGTTCTAGAATTCTACCGAGTTTCAATCTACTCTTGTACAGACATATGATGACTGCAAACCCTATACAATATCTTTCTTGTCTAAAGGGCAAAGGGGAAAAAAGTCAGTGCCCACCAATATTTGCTGTACTTAGCTTAGCTTTTGCTGTAGACAGCCTCTTCATTCGTTGTACTAATAATAACACATCCTGTCTATGTGCCACATGTTCCCTTCCCCCACTCCCTGGCCGGCTGGCCCACTCACTACACAGCACACACCACATGGGTCCTTTTTCTCCAGTGGCTGTCCAGTCTAGGCAGGAGTTCAGACTTTCCTTCCCTGCCTCCACCAGCAGCTGACCACTCAATGGCTGCACAGTGCGGATCTCTGCCCTGCCTCCTAATCTGAATGGTCAGCTGCTGGAGAGGGCAGAGAAAGGAAGCTCAGACTCCTGCCTGGACTGGACAGCCACCAGAGAAGGAGGACCCGGATGGTGTGTGCCATATAATGAGTGTGCCAGCCAGCTAGGGGTGGGAATGGGAGGATCTGTGTGGCACCAAAGGTGCCACCCATATGTATTGGAATGAAGAACGATGAAGTGCTTTGTGCCCATGTCTACTAATAAGTAAGATCTATTATAGTAAGTGAGATCTATTATAGTTGCAACTTAAGAGGTGATAGCATTATTCTGCAGTGCAGCAGGAATATTTAGTCACTTCTACAGTTAACTGCATCTCAAAATGATATGTGCAACTCGCAGTGTTTTTAATATGCCTGTTTTTGTTTTTATTTTTCTTAAACAGACACCACCAGTTGCACAGAGTTTCACAGAAGTATATCAAGAGGAGAAGCATATTTGTTCTATCCTAGAGAGCTTTGGAAAAAGAGGCATCCATGCTTTGTAAGTCTCATTGTTTGAGTTTAAGCTATGCAGGTAATCATGAAAGAGTCTCCATTTTCTGTAATATCTGTTCTTTTGTCAATTCCCCCCAAAAAAGAGCCTCTTATACACAAATGATTTATATTTACAAAACAGGAATTTAAAAATATGTTGTGTTTCTTTCATGTTCCCTCCTTCATGGAGTGTTTATTTCACCCTTTCTCATAGTGCCAGAGAAATTTTTCATTGTGTATCTTTCAGCAGCTAATCAGAATGGAGGCATTTTGAATCTATAAAAGAGCCTGGATGCCACGGAAAATCAATGACCCCAGGGTTGTTCCCTTTTGCTTATGTACTATAGGACTGGTACACAAAATGTAGAAAAACTAATCAAAAAGGCACACTTAGAAATAACTTAAAACAGAAGAAATAATGGAGCAAGGAATGTCACCCAGTCATAGGAAGCTGTTATACTTTGGACATATCTTAAAAATACAAGACTAACCAGAAAAAATGTTAATGCTAAGATATGTGAAAGTCAATAATAATAATAATAATAATAATCAACTCTTATTGGCATATAAAATAAATATAGTCAGGCTAGTTTGTTAGATTTCTGGATAGAAGAAGAAGAAGAAGAAGAAGAAGAAGAAGAAGAAGAAGAAGAAGAAGAAGAAGAAGAAGAAGAAGAAGAAGACTGCACATGTGTTGACCTTGGCTTGCAGGACCTAAGCAGGCTGCTAATGATAAGAATTTTTGGATGTTATTACTCCATAGGAAGCAACTTGATTATATGAAAGTGATTTAAGCACATGTAACATCAACTGAGCAGAAAGGAAATACAGAAATATATAATTGTATACAAAGTAGTGCGGTAATTCTGCTGACACCAATCAGTATTATTCTGAACCTGTCTTAAAACAATTCTGATATTCTATTTCTTTCCTTTCCAGAAAATTTGCTGAATTGAGCCAGCAGTTCCCCAAAGCCAATGTTGCTACTATTGACAAGCTTGCTATGGACATTACACAGGCCCAAGAACACTGCTGCAAAGGTCACACCCTTGAATGCTATCTTCAGGAGGTAAGACTTGTTCATATAAACAAACAAAATTCTCCAAAACAGAAAGCCCCCCTCCCCCAAATCTGGTCTCCTTTGAGCCTTAAATAACCAATTCTGGACAATCCTCTTTTCTTACAGGTCAACTTGACAACCTATGTTTGTAGCCACCAAGCTGATATATCTTCCAAAATTAAGGCTTGCTGTGGAAAGTCCATGCTTGAGCAAGCTACATGTTTTCCAGCTGTGGAAAATGATGACAAGCCTGCCAATCTATCTCCAACCCTCAGGGAATTTATGGACAATGAACAGTTATGTCCACGCTATGCTGAAGATCGAAACCCTCTTCTGGCAGAGTATGGCACTATTTTTTTCTTCTTTTTCTTATTACATGTCCTGAACTCTCAGATATTCAAGTGGAATCTGGTTTCCTGTAACTTAAGCTCGTTGTTGAATGTCCTGTACTGAGGGATGACTGATAACAGATCCTGCCCTTCGTCTGTATGACTACCTTTCCAGTGCTATCATATCACCCCTCAGTCTTCTTTTCTCAAGGCTAAACGTGCCCAGTTCTTTCAGTCTTTTCTCATAGGGCTTGGTTTCCAATCCATCCTCGTTGTCCTCCTCTGAATTTGCATCCTCCTTAAAATGTGGTGTCTAGAACAGGACATAGTACTCTAGATGAGGCCTAACCAGTGTCAAATAGAGAGGAACTAGTACCTCATGGGATCTGAAGACTATACTTCTGTTAATCCAACCTAAAATGTCATTTGCCTTTTTTGCAGCCACGTCACACAGTTGCCTCATATTCAGCTTGTGATCTACAACAATTTCATGATCTTTTTCACTTTCGTAGTATCCCCCATCTTGTAGCTTTGCATTTTGATTTTTTCCCCTAGGTTTAGAACTTTGCACTCATTGCTAGTTAATTTCATTCTGTTGTTTTCAGCCCAATACTCAAGCCTATCAAAATTTTCTTTGAATTTTATTCCTGTCTTAGAAGATAGTGGAGAAAATTGCAGATTAGGGCTCAAGAGACTGGATTCCAATTCCCTCTAGTTTATGAAAACTCAGTGGGTTAACTTTGTTTATCCCACCCACCTTGAAAAGTCCTCCTAAGGTTCCTTTAACACAAGAGCGACCTGCTGCCACATAACAATAGCGATCTGGTTGCATCTGTTTTTATGCCATGATTAGAAATATCTCAGTCCCAATCAATCTAAATCTAAATAAGTAAAAACTGAAATATGTTTAAACTATTTCACTTCTTTTAAATCAGTATGACTTAAAGCGCAACCACATTGCTTTCAAAATGGCTTGTCTTACTTGGATGAAACCTAAATTTATTTTGTTCAACTGGGATGCAGAGAGGGGAGTTTTAAGATCACACACCCCCTTTCAAGAAAACTGCTCCCGTAGGATTGTTTAAAAGAATATTGTGATTCAGCTGATGGATGGGGTAGAACTAATAATCTGTACATGATAATTGGGATTTGGATTTTACGCCAGCATAACACAAACAGTACAACTTTGGGAAGTGAGTTTGCTCAGGTTAAGAAATCATTATACTGTACACATTATCTGTTGTGTACCAAGTCAGACATCTCAATACAAATAGATTAATGTCTATGATGATTTCTTGAGGCATCTTGCCTGCAAAAGCTACACCAGCTTCATTATGCCTATGTGTATAAATATCAGAATTTTGTATTGAAAGAGCCCTAAATAGTTTCTATGTTTGTTATTGTCATGGTTTGTTGTTATAGCTATGGCTGATGAACCCTTTCCTCCATTGCAGATTTGTCTATGAGTATGGAAGGCGACATAGTGAGTATTCTCCACAAATGCTTTTGAGACTTGGTGAAGAATATGAAGATTGGCTGGAGAAGTGCTGCAAAGCTGAGAATCGGCAAGAGTGTCTAGTTCAAGCGGTAGGTTCCATGAAACAAGTGGGTGAATGTTGTTGTTTCAGCATAATCTTGAACCAGATTTTAAATGATTTGTAGCAGAATTGAATTAAATAAGATGCAAAAGCAAAACATATATAGATGCTCCATATCAGGGGAGACCTCTATAATGTTGTTTTATCTTTCTCTGGGAGGAGGATGTCAAGCTTATCTTGATCAATAAATGTCATGATCACACCATCTGCAAAGTGCTTACATATCCTTTATGTTTTTTATCCTTTATTTTTCTTTCCACCTAGTGACAGCATTGGGTTCCTATTAAGTATTGGCTAAAGTCCTGTTGTTTTATTATGCATATGGAAAGCCAATGGCATAACATCCAATCACTTCTAGCTGGCAATTAATAAGTGCCTACTCAGATTCTTCAGTACACACAAAGCCCCCTGTATGGGCCTCTAAGAATTCCAGCAGTGACTCATTAATTGCTGGCTAATAGTGACTGAAATTTAACACCATTTGCCTAATAGTTAAGCAACAGAATTTCACCTCTTCTCTCTTTAGTTAAATCTCAGCAGGCCACCTTATTCCCTGGCTCTCAACAAAGTCTTTGTCTTTCTGTGATGAAATTTGTCAAGGAATCTTTCTGTTTGCCTCCTCTGTTGCAGAATTACTTAAACCATCTATGTGCCAGTAAGTTGTATAACTACTATGCAAGGGATTACAAGGGGTGCTGTTTGTCCCCCTCCCCATTCGTAAGTGCATGAGTGTGAGTGTGGGTAAATAGTGTTTCAGTTTGCTCCCCTAGTACACATCGCCTTTAGCAAAGGCACCCATGGGCCTCCATTCAGAGTTCAAGGACATTTCAGGCCTCTTCCCAAAGTGATAGATATCTCTTCCCGCTGAGTGCATTTCCAGTGCAGAATTTTGAAAGGATTTTCATTTGTATTCTCAAAGGCTTTCACAGTCAGGATCTGATGGTTGTTGTGGGTTTTTTGGGCTCTTTGGCCATGTTCTGAAGGTTGTTCTTCCTGACGTTTCACCAGTCTCTGTGGCCAGCATCTTCAGAGGACTGGAGTAGGAATTCTGTCCATGCTCTGTTGATTTTCATTTGTTTTTATTTTTCTCTTCCCCCAGGAAGAACATCTTAAAAAGTATATAGCAGACACCTACAATGTGACAAAGGAAAGTTGTGATCTCTATAAGCGCCTAGGAGATGATGCCTTCCAAAATTAGTATGTTTCTCCCTTGAAATTCTGACTTACAGATATAGCCATGTGATAAATGAGCTGGGCCATTTTAGCTGGGCATATGGCTAGCTCTGCTGATACATTAGGCAACCAAAAGTTACACTAATTTTCTGTTGCCTTGGTCACTCCTGGATTGTTGGAAGAATTTCAGTATGTCCCTTCTGAAAGCATTATTCAGCTAAATTTCCTCCCAAGTTTCACTATCTTTCAATAGGGTAGATAATTTTCAGTGGAACTGCAGATCCAATAAGGTAGCTTCACATTATTAAGATATTTAAATATTATTTGACTCATGTTCCTTCAAAACAAGTGGCCTAATTGCTTCCACTTCTCCTCTCCTAATGTGTTCCTTCCTATAACCACTTTCATTATCTAACCGTTGAGTTTCATTCATCGCTCGATGAATCAAAATCTTCCCAAAGACAGTTTTGTGAGAAAAGCTATTGGAAAAATTGACCTCTTCACAAGAGATATTTGTGCAATCATTCTTCCATTTCAACCCTCACCAATATTATGAAGAAGTTTGGATTTTATTCTATTTATATTCAGCTTAATTGTATTAGGACCAACTAAAATGTTATAAAATAGAGAAGATGGTTTTGAGTTGTCCAGGACATTGTCCCCTTACCCCGGAATAAGACACAAGACAACTCTTATGGAATAAACATGGACCACACTTTATTGAATATTCAAAGTTATCATGGAAAAAGGGGGGTCCTGCTGTAGTACAGAATCAGGTTCTGCCGAGGGGTCTCAACGGACCTCTACCAAACTATGGGCAAGTCCTAAGCCCCAAGATCTCACAGTCGTGAAGACAGTGAGAACCCAGCTGGCCCAAATTTGACCACCCCCAGACTTCAAGTCCCCTTCTTGTTGACTGTTGGTCCGGGAGCGGCTCCAGTGAATCTTCTTCCTCAAGCACTGTAATCACATGATCCGCAGTGCTGGAAGATCAGAGGAGCTATACCTTACCTGTATTTGTGAGGGGACTCACCAAAACCTGTTATATCCTCACTACCCACCACGGCAAGGGGCAAGCTATGTTTAAGGCCCATGCCCACCATCAAACCTCTTGAGCTCCAAAAGCAGTTCCTCCTTGATGTCAGCCAAAAATATTTCCAAACCTCTATCGGAGAGATGTACTCCATCCTGATGGAAGAGCTCGGGCCTGTCAGCACAGATCTCCTGGTGACCAATCATTGATCCCACGCCATCACATACAGCTCTACACACCTCTGTGTTAACCCGCCTCCTTGTGGTATTAACACACTGAACCTGGAGCCTATCACGCCGAAAAAGTCGAGGAAAGATCGAGGACCAGAGAATACTCATCTTGGAGTTGGTTGCCCTCAGCCATCTGAGGTCTCAAACAATATTCAAAACCAAGGCCTTGCTACCTTGCTTTGCCAGGTCGTTACCTCCCAGATGTCACCTTGTTCTGCCAGGTCGTTACCTCCCAGATATATAATCAAGACATCTGGAGGTTGCATGCTGAATGCAGACACTCTGCATAACTGGCTCCATAACAGTCCATGGATCCAAATTATACCAAATGCTGCTATTTATACTATGCTCTATCTCTATACTTGAGACTTGTAGTCCATGTACTTCACCTGCAGTCCCAGTATGAACAAATCCTGCACTGAACCCCCCCTAGTGGCAGAAACCTAACTTAACAATTGCCTGGTGGAAAGCCAGTCAAGTCCAATTGCCCAGTCCAGCTACCCCAGTATAACAGCAGATAATAAATCTAGAACTAATCAACAGCTAGATATTAATCTAGTCAGCCAACTCCAATTAATATTGTAAATATTAATTATAATAAAGAACCTACTCTACAATGAATTATCTATATTGAGAATGAATTATCTATAGCTGAATATTAGTCCAGCAAGTCAACTCTACTTGTACCAATCTTGTAAATATATAATTATAATTAAGAGACTACACTATAATGAATTATGTAGATCAGACTATTATTTCAACAAGTCTATACTCAAGAGACTAATATAATGAACTCACTAGTGCATTAATATTAGCAATATATCCAAAAACCCCAACAAACATCAACCAAGTAACGAAGTCTGTCCTGATAATAAAGCCTAATTACTGATCCACTTGAAGTCACTTATCCACTGAATCAAAACTAACCCTAATGTATTAAGAGCTTATGAAAAAACGCAGAACACTCCCTCCCCAAACATCAACAAACCAGAAAGGAATAAATTAAAACCATGATAATATTAACCTCAATAAGCGAATGCTACCTAAGTTAATTAACTCTCAATGTATATTAAAATTGGAAAAGCAGGGGGATGCGGAGGGGGGAGTTGTACACGGGCCCACAAACATCCGCTTTAAAAAAAGAGAAATGCCTCAATGCCTCGCTTCCTATCCCTCTTTTCGTTTCCTCTCAAGTTATTAATTAATTATTGATTAATTCCACAATGTTTCAGGCACTCCTTACAAGCTACATTTGACATGCAAGCCCAGCCTAACAGCCATACATACTGTATGGAGCCATACACTCCATCCTCTGCTCCTTTTGAGTGCTTTTATTGGGCATGCAAGCCCGGCCTAACAGCCACACTGCATCCTCTGCTCCTTTTGAGTGCTTTTATTCATGTGAATTCCTGTGTGTCTGACCATATTAACTTTGGATTTCCAGGCCTTTTACCTCATTTTTAACACTTGAAGGGCAGGCAGATATACCATGGACTTCAACATGCTGGAAACAACTGCACATATTTAATCTGGACAGTGCGATTGGAGGAGAATTTTGTGTCAAATTGAATTTGTTAAAATGTGGACTCTTGGAATTTAAGGAATTTCAAATGTGTGTTTTTAAAAGCAGAATTCATAGATGTAGTTGTCCATAACTGTGGGAAATCAGAACCTTTAAACTGAAGAAACAGGGATCTTGTTTCCAGCTCAGTCCTTGTTTGCGAAGTCCATGCATTTGACGTCTTGCACAATAACTCAAATCTATGCCTGCTGAGTGTCCCATACTCTCTCTGAATTGTATCCTCTGGGCCATTGATCTTTCAGCTTCATTCTGCAATACCTTCCAAAATTACCCCAGATAAGCTTTGAGGAAATGTCCCGATTGGCAAAGACCGTCTCAGCTGCCACTGCAAAATGCTGCAAGATGGATGATGCCCACCTACTAATATGTGCAGAGGAATATGTGAGTATTTTCTCTTCCATATAAACGTTTCCCTCTCTTTCCTCCTTTAGGTAAATGTCATTTTTTTAAACACAGGTTTTAATATTTCATGCAGACTTTCAGGGAGATAATCTTCAAATCAACTGATGCAAAAGGAAGCAAAGAGACTTACAATAAAAGAATGAAATTTAATCAGAAACCAATAACATATGGGGAGGAGGAAGAGCAAGACTTTAAAAATGTTGTAGAAACAGGGATTAGCCTTGTTAATCAGTCTATATGGGGAAAAGTAATACAAAGCCAGCTGAAGAAGTAAGCCTGCTCTTCATAAGATCACTCAGAATGTAAAGAGAAGGTTCTATATAGGCTACTTGAAAGAGAGTTTTCTCCCATGTACAACCCAGCCTGACTTCATATTGGGGAGGTAGACTCTAGCAAGCAGGAAAAATCCATTAGATAGCTTGGGACTCTATCAGTTAACATTTCATGTGCTTTTAGTTGAATTTTGAAACAAAATGAGACTAAATATAGATTGATTAATTCTGGAGCAATACATTCTGGATAATGAGATATCATTGGCCATCCTTTGTAAAGTAGATTGTTTTGGTCTTACCTACATGGAACCAAAGTACAATTGACAGTGGCAAGATCTGTCTTCTTCAAGCCATGACACAAGTCCAACACTACCAGCAGTCATCGTTGCAAATACAAGTTGACCAACAATGCTATGCCCAGCAGTATTAAGGAAATGTTAATCTATTTATTTCCTTTCCACAAAGGAAGTGCTGTTCCACCCACAACAGGACAGAACTCATTCCTACATAGATGGCCACTTTTCCAATGAAACGGAATTTAAGATGTGCACAGTTCATTCAATTTGGATTTATCGGTGTCCAGTAGAGTTGAATTAGAATTCTTCCAATGTGATTTATCTTAATTTTAGTTTTTAAATATTTATCTTGCTTTGTGTTGTATTCCTCTGCATTTGGCATTACAGTTTTGTACCACAGAAAACATACATGATCACATTGTGTTATCAGTAGCATCATATAAAAATAACAAAACGTTACATGACTTACATGTATGCTTTTGAAATCACAAATAATATTACCAGTTTGTGTTTTTCATTATTTTGCAACACATAATCCAGCACAATATCTTCTCTTTCTTTCTTTCTTTCTTTCTTTCTTGCTTCCTTGCTTGCTTGCTTGCTTTCTTGCTTGCTTGCTTGCGTGCTTGCTTGCTTGCTTGCTTGCTTGCTTGCTTGCTTGCTTGCTTGCTTGCTTGCTTGCTTGCTTGCTTGCTTGCTTGCTTGCTTGCTTGCTTGCTTGCTTGCTTGCTTGCTTGCTTGATTGATTGATTGATTGATTGATTTTTTGCTTGCTTGCTTTTTCTTTCTTTCTTTCACTTTAAATAAAACCTAAATTTCAAAATTAAAAATTCACAGAAGCAGGGGATATTGTTCTTTATAATATCCTGTCTTTAATGATTTCCTAAAAGTCAGGAGGGATGGAGCCTGGAGCACTTCAGATTGACATTTATTCCATAAAGTAGGGGCCACAACTGAGAAGGTCTAATTTCTTGTTATCATCTTTTTGGCTTCTTGGTGTGGCCACCCTTAACACTGCAGTTTGGGAGAAGCATGTAAAACAGGCAGCTGTTTTCTTGGGAAGACATTTCTCTTTCTGTTTTCCTATCTCTTTCTCTTTAGGGAGATCTAGTTATTGGAATGATATGTCAACAGCACAAAGGACACCCCATAAACAAACAAGTTGAAAAATGCTGTGAAGATTCCTACGTTTACCGTATTCCATGCTTTGATGGTTTAGGAGTAGATCCAGAATACGTTCCTCTGCCATACGATCCAAAATTGTTCACTTTGCATGGAGATTTCTGCTCAGCTAAACCTGAAGATCAACAAAAACAGAAGCAAAGGTACTACAAACCCAGAAGCCTCCGAACCAAGATTTGACAGGCTATTTGTAGGCAAAGTGTTGTCCACAGGCTCACCTATGGACCTTAGTTGATACAGTGAGACTCCAAAGCCTTCCCTGATTTTTAAGCCTTACAATCCTGGCGGATGGGTGAGAAGTGATTGTAAGCATAATATGCTTTTGGCCTTACTCAATAAACAAGGCAAAGCAAGCACACAAACCAACAAATCCTGCTGCTGTGAGATGATGAAAGTTCTTTGGCTAAACTCGGAGAGTTGCTGCACATTTTTAGGCCAATTTCTGGCACATGTATGTAAAGTGCATGACACTTAACATTGAAATAACTGTAACGTCATGTGGGCTAGCAAAAGCAGTAGCACTGGATGGGTCGCTTCTGTCTTTGTGACACGTCAACTCATCCTTTTCTACTCAAATTATGTCTCTGTGCTTTAAGGAAGTCATACTACAAAGCAAGAGTCAAGGCTCAAATATACATTTTTCAGACTTGTGTCTTCATTAGAGAAATAATAAGTGTATAGGAGTATAGTTTGTAAAATCTTCACCATGCAGACACCATCAAAATGTGGTGTCCTTGATTTCAATCATATTAGAGCAGTGTTCTCCAACCTAAATTACAGCTACATGTCATTCTTGTTGCAGGTTCTTGTATAACCTAGTTAAACAGAAGCCCACCATCACATATGGACAACTTACACCTGCAATTATGGATCTCACTGATGTGCTGACATGTCCAAGGATTTAAATTACAGCTACATGTCATTCTTGTTGCAGGTTCTTGTATAACCTAGTTAAACAGAAGCCCACCATCACATATGGACAACTTACACCTGCAATTATGGATCTCACTGATGTGCTGACAAAATGTTGTGGAGCTGATAACCATGAGGAATGCTTTACAATGGAGGTATTGCTTTAAGGGACAAACATCCAGTGCACAATCAAGACCATTGGAATAATCATGACTAAATATTTCACCTCAATGGATTTTGGTGAGAAACTGTTGCCTACTCTTTTCTCAGAGCAAATGTCTTTCTTTTCAGGGTCCAAAACTGATTGAACGGACTCAAGCTGCTCTTGGAGATAACTAACCATCTCAGGTAAGCTGACATAGTCCTGCCAGTCCCCTCTCCTGCAGCATTGTTAGGGCCAAGTCCTCCAGCAATAACTCTATGGCAGGGTTGGGCAAATGCAGCCCTCCAGATGTTGCTGAACTGCAACTCCCATAATTCCTAGCCCACACAGCCAATAGTGTGGGGAGAGTTGGGCCTAGCCCACACAGTCAGTAGTGAGGAGATTTGAGCCTAGCCCACACAGCCAATAGTGTGAGGAGAGTTGGGCCTAGCCCACACAGTGAGGAATGTTGGGATTTGCAGTTCAGGAACATCTGGAGGGCCGCACTTTGCCCAGGTCTGTTCTATGGGCTCCAGCTCAGCTTCTTGGCTCAGAACACCTTTTATTAGTGGTCCAATGTCACTTCCCTCTGTCTCTCTCCCCGCCCCCCAAATCTCCTAGGGCCAAATTATCATCTTTAAAGACTGATGCACTACTTGCCAGCTTGGGGACTCAGCTTCACTGGAGTCCCCCAGAGTACAATTTCTAGAAATCAGGAAGAAGAGTCCAGGAAGCATCCTTTTTAGAGAAGGCTTGTATAGATAAGCAAAAGAGGTCAGGTTCCACAGCTCATCTCTACCTGTCCCCTCCCTCACTTGCCTCTCCAAGGCTGTGGCAGTGTCCAGACTAACGCCCAAGTACATGTCTGATGCCTGTTACAAACAAACTGAGCGAGAGTACACAGCTTCCAGCACATTCTTAATCAGCCAATCAATCTCTTCAGATTTACTTAAGGCCTCCGTTACTATGAGATATGTGACATTAACAATTAGGGGTGTACAAGTGAGAGATAAACTTTGCTCCTTAATCTTTATACATAGGTTGCTGGCTAACTTGTACCCTTGTCCCTGTTTAATGCTGTAAATAATGCTTGGATCCTATTTTCTTCTAGGCAAGAACACTGGAAACAAAGTCCTGATCAGCCCGATCATCCTTGGCTGCTCATTCTTCTTACATGTTAGCTATCCCTAAGTGGAAGAAGAGAAGTATTTGACTCATGTTTAATGTTAATTGGAGCCTTTAAGCTAAATCAGAGTCCAAGAATTCAGTTAATTCATTCTAAATGACTTGATTTGTGTTCATCTAAATTTAGGAGGGAGCAACTGTTTGTCTTCACTTTCTCAATTTTCCAGAGTTCCATCCCGTTTTGACACCAGTCTTTGAATATCCTTTGTTTAAAACATGAAAATTCATCAGGAAATATGTACACTTCATGTTTCATTTCTCCTCTTTTACAGGAAGAGGAACGGATTATGTACATAAGAAATTCTGGGAGTGTTGGACCAAAAATTATACATTTTTCAAATTCTGACTATAGGACTATTAAATCTGATGGAAACAAAGACTGCAAAAGTCTTTAAAATGGAGTTACATGGACCACAGTGGCCTAAAAGTCTAATGATACAGAGGTTTCTTTGCCCTGTTGCTTATAATAAGGTTGTGACCATCACTGCTGCCACCCAAGGTGAGGGTAGCTGGGAGGGTCTCCTCAACATTGGGCTCCATGATCTCCAGACTTATATTGCTGCTAAAACTAGTTTTTATTAGGATAAGGTCAGTGAGGCCCTTTGCCCTTCCCACCTCAACGGCCCACAGGGCAACCTAGTTATCTCTAGCCCCCTGTTGCTCTCAGTGGGGCCCAAGTTCAATTCACTGGGCACCATACTTCTCCCATCTGGGGCTGAGGATTAGTTCATGACACTAGCCCCAGCCATTTAACACTACAGTCGTGCCCCGCTTTACGATTACCCTGTTTAACGACGAATCCGCTTGATGGTGAGTTTTTTGCACTCGCAAAACGATGGTTTGAATGGGGTTTTCCCGCTTTGCAATGATCAGCTCCCTGCTTCAGGAACCGATTTTCGCTTTACGACAATCAAAACAACTGATCGTTGGATTTTCAAAATGGCCGACGGGTGTACAAAATGGCTCCCTGCTGTGTTTAGGAGCCATTTTTTGCTTTACAGGCACCTGAAAATGCTCGCCCCCATGGAGGATCTTCGCAGGACGGTGAGTTTTCAGCCCATTGGAATGCATTGAGGGGTTTTCAATGCATTTCAATGGGTTTTTTAGTTTCGTTTGATGATGTCTTCGCTCTACAGAGATTTCTCTGGAACGAATTAATGTCATCAAGCGAGGCACCACTGTATTAAGAGAGAGCTGGTAAAGCTGGGATGATGTCCAGTTTCCAAATCTCATGAGGAGCTAGTTCCCTTCTATTCAGCACTGGTTAGGCTTCAGCTTGAGTATTATGTCCAGTTCTGGACACCACACTTCAAGAAGGATGCTCATAAATTGGACCAAGTTCAAAGGAGGGTGACAAAGGATGACCAGGGGGCTGCAAACCAAGCCCTAAGAGGAGAGACTGAAAGAACTGGGCATGTTTAGAGAAAAGAAGACAGAGGGGTGATATGATAACACTTCTCAAATACTTGAAAGGCTGTCATACAGAGGATGGGCAGGATCTGTTTTTGATCAACCCAGAGTGCAGGACATGCAACAATGGGCTGAAGTTACAGGAAGTCAGATTTCAATTGAATATCAAGACAACAAACATCCAAACTGTTAAAGCAGCATTGCAATAGAACTAATTACTTTGAGAGGCGGTCGGTGCTCCAATTCTGGAGGCATTCAAGAGAAATCCAAACTGTTAAAGTAGCATTGCAATAGAACTAATTACTTTGGGAGGTGGTCAGTGCTCCAATTCTGGAGACATTCAAGAGAAACTTAGACAACCATCTGGTAGATATCCTTTGATTTCTATTCCTGCCTCGAGCAGGGGGTTGGACTTCATAGCCTTGTAGGCCTGTTCCAACTTCACTATTCTATGATTCTATGGTTCTATGCCCTCCCACAAAACCCCAGCCATTCATCCTGTCTTTGAAGGATCTGCCACAGCCTCCCCTCCCACAGCCATTCCTCCTGTCTTTGAAGGATCTGCCACAGCCTCTTGTTCCATTGCTTCCTCTACCGGTACATTTTCTGAGTCAGGAGGGGCTGGTGGACTGAGGCTCAGCTGGGTTCCCATGCCTTTCCTGAGAGGGCACCAGTGGGGTGACTACTAGTACTGCTCCCTCGTTTCTTTTACTCGTAGTGAAGTGGATCCATTTTTACACCCACGGGTCCTGAAACACCAGTGCCTGGTCCTCACCGAGAGTGAAGAAAATGGAAGGGGGAATCCTCCAAGGTCTCAACCCACTTTTCTATCTCTTAGTCTTTTGGGAATGATGAATCCTCTGCATCTTTATCTTCCTCCATCTTTAAACCTAACTCTCACCATTCTATCCTGGCTCCAACCCCACCCTCCAGGTGCATCTCCTCTGCCTCTTCACTCCCCCACCCTGGGGCCCTGCTCCTTGCTTCTGTGCCCTGCCCCTGGGATCCTTGAGAAGTTTCCTCTCAGAAAGGCTTGTTTTGTTTTGCATCTCAGTTTGGGGAAAAGTGGAAACTTGAGGAAACTACTGCTATGAAACACCTATCTATATTAGATAACTCCAATACCTATTAAGTTGGAGTCATTCCCACCACCACCACACACAGAGACCGCATTTTCTGAAGCGCTTAGATGTACACCACCACCCACCCCATATCTAATTCCAGTGCAAAATTTTAGACACTGTTGCAAGAAAGCAAATACCAATAATCTCAAAAACTGGGGGTCACAAACCTTTACTTTGAATGTGTGCCCTTTCACTGCTGGCCCCATTCCATCAATTCTACTCACCTTTACCCAAAGATTTGAGATCAGAGAGAACTTGTTGAAAATTACAGAGCAATGAGGGAGGCGGACAGTCCTGCTTGGTTTGCACTATGATAAGATAATTTACCAATATCTGTAAGTCTAACTTCAGAAAAGAGAAATGATTTACACAGCGATACAGGGACAAATGAATCTTAACTGTTTGCCATCTATTTTGCCCTTGCATAGATTTTTCCTCTTTAACAAATTAATGGCACCAGAGAGAATGAGAAGGAAGGGGCAACATTATGACATGGAGGACAGGATGTTAACATGTTTAACCCCTCACATTCACAGTCAGTAGCATCTCCATGACATAGTGCTGTGTTCAGTCAGTGGAAGTCACTAGAGCCTTGTTTAGTCATTAAGCCTGGACATGAGTGAAAGAATATGAGCATAGTCGTGAGGTGGGAATGAAGCTAAGTTCTACCTCCATATCCCTAGTAAAGGTAAAGGTAAAGGTTCCCTTTGACTCTAGGGCATGGTGCTCATCCCTGTCTCCAAGCCATAGAGCCAGCATTTGTCCGTAGACAGTTTCTGTGGTCATGTGGCCACTGCGACTAGACAAGGAATGTCCACCATGGTGGTACCTATTTATCTACTCACATTTACATGCTTTCAAACTGCTAGGTTGGCAGGAGCTGGGACAAGCGATGGGAGCTCACTCCATCACATGGATTCGATCTTATGACTGCTTGGTCTTCTGATCTCGCAGTACACAGGCTTCTGCGGTTTAACCTGCAGTGCCACCATATCCCTAACTGGAAGTAAAGCAGATCTTTTAATGTTATTCATGAAGGCCTGCAGAGGCACCTGTAAGTATGTTCAGCTGGACATGCTTAAAACATTTCTACAGTCAAGAGCTCTGTTAAGGCAAGTTTCCTGAATATGGAAACACTGTTAAATAGATCCAGCTTCAGAGTCATGTAAGTCCATCTGCAGAGTTTCCTGGCAAACATGTACACCTGTACAACTAAATGGGGCTTCGTTGAGATGGGCAGAGTGGGACAGTATCAAGGAAGCACCCAATCTCCATGTTAAGACAAACGAAGGTTTGGCATCAGTATCGGAGAGGAGTATGACAGTTACTCAGGAAGTTTTGCCCAAAATGGCAGTCTCTTAGCATTCAGGTCGAGCAACATACAGGCCTCTCTCTTCCTAATGAAAGAAGTGTGTGCTCCCTTCCCAAAAAAGGGGAAAGAGGCCAATTTGGAATGGACTGGTACTATGTTATGCAACTCTGTCTCCATTTCACCCCATTGCCATGGGAAAGAGGCATCTAACCCACTCACTCATACAGCTGCATAGGATGCCAAGTCACTGTACCCATGGCTAAGCAGGAATCTCTGTTGTATACTCCAGTTAGCCAGGCCTTTCTCATCTACTACTTACTTCAGACAGAAATTTCGGCTGGTTGGTTGTGCTTTTTCTAAGACCAAATACAGTATATATACAGTGTAAGAAGGGAGAGGGTTAACAGCAGGTTAAACTGGGGAACATTCAGGAGGGAAATGATTTTTGGTGGTTTCAAGAATCTCCTTTAAGCTGCTTTTTCACACCTTCCAAGACTGACTGTGACATACACAATACTTTACCTCAGAAATCTGCACATTTCTGAGGTGCATGCTACATTTTATATAGGCTAAATCATACATACTTTAAGAAAAAAGAAAAGTGTTAAAATGCATAGGGTGGAAAATACACACTGAGCAACCCACTCACATGGATGTACTTTAGACAAGTGGTCCCCAACCTTGGGGCTCCAGATGTGCATTTTATATAGGCGAAATCATACATACTTTAAGGAAAAAGAAAAGTGTTAAAATGCATATAGTGGAAAATACACACTGAGCAACCCACACACATGGATGTACTTTAAACAATGGGTAAAATGTGTACAAAAATACATGAGGCAGGAGATGTTTGTAAAGGGGAAGTATCGCTTTAGACAATAGGTAAAATGTGTACAAAAATACATGAGGCAGGAGATGTTTGTAAAGGGGAAGTATCTATTGAAAATATGGGCAAAGGAATTCCATGCAGTAAGAAATCAGACCCCAAAGCCTCAGAAGCTGATACAAACAAAAGATGAGATGAGGATCTGAGTAGGATTTAGGGCAGTGGTTCCCAGATGTTCTTGGACTACAGACAATAGGTAAAATGTGTACAAAAATACATGAGGCAGGAGATGTTTGTAAAGGGGAAGTATCTATTGAAAATATGGGCAAAGGAATTCCATGCAGTAAGAAATCAGACCCCAAAGCCTCAGAAGCTGATACAAACAAAAGATGAGATGAGGATCTGAGTAGGATTTAGGGCAGTGGTTCCCAGATGTTCTTGGACTACAATTCCCAGAACTGATACAAACAAAGGATGAGATGAGGATCTGAGTAGGATCTAGGGCAGCGGTTCCCAGATGTTCTTGGACTACAATTCCCAGAAATCTTGGTCAGCAAAGCCAGAGGAAACACTGATCTAGAGAAATGCAACAAAGTTAAAGCACAGAGGTTTGGGTTTTTTGTGGGAGGGTGGTTTACATCTCTTGTGACCACTAAGGGGCATCTTCTTCATGGAAGAAACCTGACTTTTCTCAAGTGGCAGCCTGAGGGAATATAGAAGGGCAGCCTTCACCCTCTGGGGACCAACAGTTGTCCTTGATAGAAACAGGAAGAGCAAGTCCAGCAATCACCTGAAGAAACAGGGGTCTGCACCAGTTGTTATTAGCTAGAAAGCTTATTTTTCTTTCTTGCATGATTTTTATTGCCATATTGGCATATATGTTCTTATCTGGAGGTCTGTAGGATTTTTAAATTTTAACTTGTAAACTGCCCAAAGTAGTTTATTAATGGGGCAGTATATCATACATACATACATACATACATACATACATACATACATACATACATACATACATACATACATACATACATACATACATACATACATACATACATACATACATACATACATACATACTGGAGGTAAATTCCTCCCTCTCACTCTGCTAAATTGCAGGAACTCAGACTGGGTAAAAAAAAATCTGATGAGACACTCTCTATTTGATCATGCAAACGCTGTCTGGTATCTGTATCTCTTCCAGAGCCCTTGTAAAGGTAAATAGAAGTTACAAAAAATTAGTCCTTAGAGCAGCAGGTTTAAACGATATGTAAAATTCTATGTGCAATATGACCAATTAGTGGCATTTTTGTTGACAGAAAATATAATCTTCACGAAGCTGAAAGTAAGATCTCTCACACCAATATTGACAAAAATGCATTAGAATTAGAATTTAGCTTTTAAGTGTCATTTATTTTATTTCAAAAAGATTTAGGAAAGATGAGTTCATTCCACAGCAAGACACTGTAATTTTAGAGTGTAATCCAAAGTCCATACTTTTCTATTAACTTCTTCATGGAGTTCTTAATTTCTTTGTTCCTCATTGTGTAGATAACTGGGTTTAATAAAGGAAAAATGACAGTAAGGAAAACAGCCACCACCTTGTCTATGAATAAGGGCACCAAAGGACGTGTATAGAGGAAGATGGCTGGAGTAAACATCACAAAGATTAAAATAATGTGGGTGACACAGGTGGATGTAGCTTTGCCCCTTCCAAGTGTTGTACTAGTTTTTAGTTTCACCAGAAGGATTCCATATGATATTAGCAAAAGAATGAAGGAGGACAATATTACAAGCCCATTGTTGATGAAAGTCAGAGTTTCCACCCTGTGTGTATCAGCGCAGGCCAGTCTGATCACTTGGTGAACATCACAGAAGAAATTGTCCAAGATGTTTGGTCCACAAAAATGAAGTTGATGGGTCAACATTACAAGGATGATAGCATGAATAAATCCTCCTACCCAGGATGCCCCCACCAGCATGCAACACACACTTCCACTCACAAGATGAAAATACTGCAGTGGTTTACATATAGCTACGTACCTATCATAGGCCATGGCGATCAACAGAAATATCTCAGCTGCTCCCAAAAAATGCAAGAAAAAGAGCTGGCACATGCATCCACCATAGGAAATAATTTTTTGCTGCCTTAAAAAATCACCTAGCATCTTAGGCAATGTGACAGAGCAGTAGCAAATGTCAAGGAAGGATAGATTAGCTAGGAAAAAGTACATCGGGGAAGCCAGATGGTGATCCAGGTAGATGGTAAGGATGATAAGGATGTTGCCCAACAAGATGAAGGAGTAGAAGAGTGAAAACAAGAAGAAGAGGGCAAGCTGGACTTCTTTAACTGGAAACAGTCCTAGGAGAAGAAACTCAGATACTTCTGAAACATTATTCTGATTCATACTTTCAATCTACAAAAAAAAAGGAATAGGAGTTTAAAGGGACTCATACAAACAACAGAGCTATTTTTCTAAACGCACATACCGCTACACTTTGTATAAAATAGCATTACTTACTCATTGTTAAGCTGGAAATATAAATTTACCTCCCTTCCCTTCAGCCAGAAATAAGGAAAATTAAGGACACCTGCACAAAGTAAATCAAGAACATATGAAAATGAGATGTAGAGTCCATTCTACAACTAGATTGTTGAGCAACTTCTCATGCTGTTTCTCTGTAAGCATGATTTTTTCAGCCAGAAAGAAGAAACATTAAGGAAACCTGCACAAAATAAATCAACACATCAAGAACATATGAAAGATGAGATATAGAGCCCATTCTAAAACTGGATCGTTGAGCAACCTCTCATGCTGTTTCTCTGTAAGCATGATTTTACCCTAACTTGAACCATTCATCTCAGAAAACCCTTTTCAGACAGACCAAATAAAAGTAAACATGTTCCTCCCTTAACATTATCTCATTTACATTCTTGGGCAAATACTTGGTTATAGTTTGTGTGTAGAGGAGTGGGAACTGCCGTATTTTCTGTGTATAAGACACCCCTATATATAAGACACACACACACACCCAGTTTTCTAACTCAAAATATCTTTCTTGGCAAGAAAGTGGAGGAGGAAGGCAGGGATCAAAGTGCTTTGATTCCTGCATTCCCTTTCCACTTTCTTGCAAAGAAAGTGCTTTCCCCGTTTCCTAACCCAAAATATCTTTCTTAGCAAGAAAGTGGAGGAGGAAGACAAGGATCAAAGTGCTTTGATTCCTCCCCCCCCCTTACTTCCGTGTATAAAACAACCCTCAATTTTTCCTCTCATTATTTTAGGAAAATTGTCATTTTATACACAGAAAAATACAGTACTCGTGGAGGGGAAAGACAGGGATCAAAGCTCTTTGATTCCTCCTCTCCCCTTACTTCCATGTATAAAACAACCCTCTATATTTCTCAAACTCTAGTTGTAGCGTGAAAAATCAACTTTCCTCCCTGCTTTCAAAAAAGGCAGGCAGAAAGGCAGGCAGGCAGGCAGGCAGGCAGGGTGGGGAGCTGGTTTGTTCGTTCAGTAGAGTTGGATCCAGAATCTGCATTCTATGGATGGATGTATTCTATGGATGGAAGAATGCTGCTTATATACGAGGGATTGCCATCAACAATGAGACATTGAAATCTGCTATTCCAAGCCCCGTTGTATCTGCTTAAACCTGAATCCAACTCTAATCTGAATGTGATCATAACAATAAATGAATTGACACCCATAAGCACTTGAATGTGCATATCTGTTGTAGAAATATAATTGCTTTGCTGATATAGCGCAAGACGTTTTGAACACTGATTGAACAAAAACTTACCTTGTCCTCTCTATGATGTCCTTGAAAAATATAATCTGATGGTTCCAGTGATTATGCCTAGACAGCCCACTGAATCTTTATCAACCTGGGGAATCAGCAGCAAGATGGAACAGCAACCAGTTCTGTCTAATGTGGGTTAACTGCTGAGCAAGCCCAGTGCTTCAAAAATATTGTCACAAACATCGGCAAACAAACAGCACTTATATGAATTTAATTTTCTGAAGCTCTCTTAAATAATCTCTCTTGCTTTCAGTGACTTAACATCTTGAACTTCAGTTCATCTCCAAAGAGTAAAAACTCAGGTGGTTCATGTTCTCTGTGGCATTAGCATACCCAATGCCTTATTCCCAAAGCTCTCAGTATTTCAATATTTACAATATTTCATCACATCATTAGCTGAGGTGTCACTTAATTCCAGTTGGGGATTCATCCAGTCCTGTCGTACGCATGATGTATCCTGCATATAAGTTAAATAAGCAGGAGTACAATATACAGCCTTGTCATACTCCTTTCCCAATTTTGAACCAATCAATTATTCCATATCCAGTTCTAACTGTTGCTTCCTGTCTCACATATAGATTCCTCAGGAGATAGATAAGGTGGTCAGACACTCCCATTTCTTTAAGAACTTGCCATAGTTTGTTATGGTCCACAAAGTCAAAGGCTTTTGTGTAGTCAATGAAGCAGAAGTAGATGTTTTCCTGGAACTCTCTGGCTTTCCCCATTATCAAGGCCAGCAACCACACTATCTGGGTTGTCCGGAACATCCAGATCTTTCTGGTACAATTCCTCTGTGTATTCTTGCCACCTCTTCTTGATGTCTTCTACTTCTGTTAGGTCCCTACCATTTTTGTCCTTTATCATGTCCATCTTTGCACAAAAGGTTCCTTTAATATTTTCTAGATCAGATCTCTGGTTTTTCCCTTTCTATTCTTTTCCTCTATATCTCTGCACTGTTCATTTAAGAAGGGCCTCTTGTCTCTCCTTGTTATTCTTTGGAAATCTGCATTCAATTTTCTGTAGCTTTCCCTTGCATTTTGTTTCCCTTCTTTTCTCTGTTATTTGTAAGACCTTGTTGGACAGCCACTTTGCTTTCTTGCATTTCTTTTTCTTTGGGATGGTTTTTGTTGCTGCTTCCTGTACAATGTTATGAGCCTCCATCCATAGTTTTTCCAGCACTCTGTCCACCAAATCTAGTTCCTTAAATCTGTTCTCCTCTTCTGTGTATTCATAAGGGATTTGGTTTAGATTATACCTGACTAGCCCAGTGATTTTTCCTATTTTCTTCAGTTTAAGATTGAGTTTTGCTATGAGAAGCTGATGATCAGAGCCACAATCAGCTCCAGGTCTTGTTTTTGCTGACTGTCTAGAGCTTCTCCATCTTTGGCTGCAGAGAACATAATCAATCTGATTTCGGTATTGCCCATCTGGTGATGTCCATGTGTAGAGTTGCCTCTTGTGTTGTTGGAAAAGAGTGTGATGACACTCACATGCTTTGAATCTATTTTTGGTGTTGAACATCCCCCACCCGCTTTTAAATGGAGGTGAAGGGAAGTTTTGTTCACAGCACAATCATCATTACATTTGCTGTGCACATCACTGTCTCCCCCTCACTTTTTTTAATTTGTGCAAAATCTTCACATGAAAGCATTGTAAGCCCAAAGAAATGAATATTTTTCACAAAATCAAATGATGGTTATATTGAATTAAAGAACTTCATTAGAGGAAAGATTTTCCAGTTTACCTTCTTGGGTCCCACTCTAGCTCTTGAAAAATGCCTCAGGTGTGTTGGAAATCTGGAATATATGGGAAGAAGAATAGGAGGTTTGAGGGAGGCACAATTTGCCCGCAATTGATAATCGCAAGTTGATGGAAAGAAAATTTCCTTTAATGTCTTCCACCTGGTAGTCCCTCATCTATTGCATCTTCTGTCACATGGTATAGAGAGGGCTGACCCTCTTCAAATTTATTGGCAGGATATGACAGACAGTTGACTTCAGAGGGAAGAAAAAAATTAAAAATGGGAAAGTATACTATTGTCATGCCAGCCCATGGCATTCCTGTCTGGCAGTTATAGCAATATTTCCCTCAGTGGCTCATATTCTATGGCTCAGCAACATCTCTCCCAGTGATATCCTACCAGAAACAATAATGAAATATAATAAGGTATACAGAATTTGGGGGTGGGTATTCTCATCCATCACTTTAGACAGAAAAATGTATTCAGACAGCTCTGATGAAGGAATATTTGATCCCCCCCCACCCAGTTCTGCAGCTGCCCAGCGGTTCTGTTCTCTCATGACATATCTCATCTAGGAATGGAAACGTTTACAATCTTGGGTCAAGATTTTTGGCAGAGATGAAAGTCATGAAACATACACATGTCATGCAGATCAAGTGAGTGACTCCTTCTGAAGACAGACCTGTTTGGCCAACAGTGATGAAAGCTTTGGTTTATTTTCCCCCAACCCCCTCTGAGATACCTTGCATGCAGAGAATTCTACTTTTCAAGTGCTTACAGAGGCTTAATTCAATTATTTTAATTTTATATCTCTTGTTTAAACAGAATTGCTATTCTGTAATTGAATCACTGTTCTCCCAATAACAACTCTAATGACGCATAAAGAAAAAGAGCTTCACTATTTTTCTGGAACAACTTAGGTGGGTTGGTACATGGCATATATTAACCTTCTTTTATTAACTTCATGTACCAAGTGCTAAGTATAAGTCATATCTAGCGATATTATAACAAATATAGCCTAAGGCTGATTACTATCTAAGGCTAGATGTGTGGAACAATTAAGAGTTTTCTGAATAAAACATAATGTAAATGCATCAGACTAGTCTTTTGATGTCTGAGGGGTATCTATTGCATCCTTATAAGCTGTGATGCCACTGAGTCTTTGTATAGAAGCGAAAAGAAAATATCAAAAACAATTGTAGACTTTAAAAGACAAGACATTTGAGTTGATGTATGTGATAAAGAGCATAGTAACCACAAGACAACAGAACACTTCAGGACGAAAAAGGAAAATCGCCCAGATGGAATAGAGGTAGCTCAAACCTCTTCACTTTGGTTCAAAATCCAGTTTTGGTTTGCAAGAATATTTACATCTGCAAGTATCTCATTAGCTTCGGTAACATTCTCATAGAAATATTGATCAAGGCTGAAGGTCTAGTGACTTGAGCAATCTGACAGACTTGTTTCTCCCTGCTATTTGTGCAAAATGTACACACCTCAGCTGCAATGGTGGTGAGTAAGGCCTTCCTTAGTTCAATTCAGCACTGGATTATTGAGCAGTTTGAGAAAGAGCTTGGAGAAAACAAATGTTTCCTTGCTGAGATTTCTAAATTTACTGGATAGTATCAATTATCAAGTGTTAATTTCTAGATCATCTTGAGTTGTTTGTACTTCTCAGAAGGCTTGGAGATGATTTTGTGGTGTGTTAGCTCAAGCCTTGACTGATAGAGAGTTCAGGGACCGGATAAAAATTAGAATTGAACAACAAGCATCTTTTACACATGCACAGAATTTCGTTTCCTAGTATCAGATATAGCAAAATCTCTGTGGAAAATCACAAGGCTTGTAAATACATTGTGATCACAGTGAGCTACAGAACTTTATATTTCAAAGTGGTTTACTGTAATATCTGGCAACATTTCTGCTAAGAAGACAGTAGGTGGTGTTTTCCAATGATACCAAAAGAAATGTCACATTTCTTCAGTCTTCACAATACTGACTCTTTTCTTCACAATCTTGAAGGGTAGATGATTTTTCTCCATTTCTGCACATGGCTGAAGGAACAGTTGCAACCATGAATGTAAGAGAAATATGCTTGAATAGACTTCTGCTCTATATTTCCCAGATGGTCTGGAAATAATTTGCACTCACAAATATGCATATTGATGAAAGGCTATAGATGCACCCATAAAACACATGCATATTTTAAGTGTGCCTAGTACTGTATAATCCGCACATTTCAAATGTATGCAAAACTTTGTCCCGATGCACCCATAAAGCACATGCATATTTTAAGTGTGCCTAGTATAATCCACACATTTCAAATGTATGCAAAACTTTGTCCAGATGTACTTGAGTCAAAGGATAGAATGCATTCAAAATAACAGTTTAGCTTAGTGGGTTAGACTACCTACCTGATGAATCAGAGCAGGGAGTTCCATCTCTATTCTGTCTCCTGGGAAAGGACCCAGCCAAAGTCACCCAGAGTAGGTGTGGCTGGTGACATGTGTCATGTGTCACCACCTGTGTAGATATGGGTGAGCTACACAGCTTCATAGCACCACAAGACCCTTTCTGTATACTCTATGCCTAGAAAACCCTGATAGGGTCAACAAGTTAGAATCAACTTGAAGACACATGATTGTTATTTCAAAGCAAAGCAAAAGCAAAGCATGCTGCTTATATACTGCCCCCATAGTGCTTCAAGCGCTCTCTGGGCGGTTTACAAGTTAATTATGCAGGCTCCACATTCTTTCCCCCCCCCAGCAAGCTGGGTACTCATTTTACTGACCTCAGAAGGATAGAAAGCTGAGTCAACCTTGAGCCAGCTACCTGGGATTGAACCCCAGGTCGTAAGCAGTTTTGGCTGCAGTACAGCAGTTTAACCACTGTGCCACGAGGCTCAGTATATAATTCAAGTATATAAGAACATAAGAATATATCGCATACTGATTCAGACTATTGATTTCTCTAATCCAGTACTACCAACTTTGACTGCCCATGGGTCTCCAAGTTTTCAGGCAAAATTCTTTCTCACCTGCCCTGGAGATCCTTATAATTAAATGGGTATTATCTCTCATATAAGTATTAAGCAAATCAGAGCCTGTTTAATTTTAAAATCAGATGAGATCAGTTGTGTTCAATATAGTACAATGCATACAATTGAGGCATACAGACAAACACGCATGCATGAAGGGGATGGATCCTGACCTTTAAACAGTGAAGCAACAAAAACAGTCATGGACTGGATTTGGAAGTAGGAAAAGAGGAAGTCTACTGATGCAAGCTGTACAAACTGCAACTTATATTGCACATTATTTGAACTTTTAGTAACAGCTGAACATCATCAGAGGCAAACCTGTTAGCCTGAAGCTATGTCCCCCACCTCCCTTTCTTTCTCAGCTGATTTTCCCCCCGAAGGCAAATGGTAGGCATGCCTCCTACCCGAAGGTTTTGTACCTGGAACAGAGAGTTAAGATTAGAGGACTAACATGCAATGTGTACCAAGTATCTGAACTATACCAGGAACATAGTGAAAACTTTCTTTGGTTTATTCTTCACCAGACCTATTCTCCGCCCACCAGGGAAGGTGAATAAAACATAGCACATAATCAAAGGGTATATAAATATTGAATCCTCCAGTTAGGATTTTTGCACAAGCATGAAAAGAAACTTTGTATATACACTACTGGAACCAGGGACAGCATCTAAAGTTATCATCCCTGCCTAAGGTAATTCTCCTAGTGGAAGACTTGACAACCTCTCATTGGTGTTGTAGCTACATTTTAAAAGGCTTGAAATCTGTTCAGTATAAACTGTGTCTACCTTTATGCAATTCAACAACCTGCCCCAATACTCAAAGTAACAGACAAAATATCTGTGGGATGCTAACATCCTTCTACTTCATAATTTTAAGACAGCAAATATTAGATTCTCTGAGTTACATTTTGGATGAGAGCCTAAGAGTATAGTCCTAAGGACATTTACCTGGGAATAACTGAACTAAGCTGTTTAAATTTCCAGTACAGTGGACCCTTGACTTACAGACGGCTTCAACTTCTATTCCCTTTCTCCCTAGTTCATGCCATGCTGGTGAAAAAGTAAATCTTCCAAAATTCTGCGACTCTGACGATATTGTGAATTTCTCCGAGTTACATTTTGAATGAGAGCCTAAGAGTATAGTCCTAAGGACATTTACCTGGGAATAACTGAACTAAGCCGTTTAAATTTCCAATAGACCCATACAGGAGTGTGCTGTTATTTTGCACATTCTCAAAATAATTTGGCAATTGTTTATATTACTTGCTGAAAAACCAGGAGTCATTAAAGACACCCAGAGGTCTCCTTTTCATATCGTTTCTCCTACAAACCTCTAAATTAATTTTTTAATGCTATTAATTTTTTTAAACAAAGGTATTTCTTTTTTAACATTTGATAAGAACATGTTCAGGACTTGTTCCAAATTTACTAACAAGATCTATGCTTTAACCAAGGAGCTAGTATGGTTCAACAAGATTTGGTGTGCCACAGCTTATCTATCCTTGATCTTAATTTGTTGGGTGACACCTAACCCATCTTGGAAAGTTGGGTCCTGAATATGGTAGGTCAAACTAGAATGGTCTTAACCGACCAGATAGGCGAGTTGGGTGACACTTAACCCATCTTGGAAAGTTGGGTACTGAATATGGTAGGTCAAACTAGAATTTTTGCTTGTAGACCAGGGATGGAAACCTCAATTGGTTTCACTTTCCCTTGCATTCAGAGATGAACTGAAATAAACATCATCTCCCTTTTTAGCAGGCAAATTCAACTGCTGCAGCTCTTCCCAGTGTGGGCAGTATTATGCTGTACCCACCCGCCATATAGACATCAAATATTTAAAAAGGAATATGATAAGAAATATCTTATCAGCACCACTGATGTAAAAATTATTTAATTATCTAAACACATAAACCTGGCACCCACTCCTTAACCTTGACGACAAGAGACAAGATCCAGACTTGATCATGATCTGAAGATCAGTGAGATTTATAGTACTTCACAGGCTCTACTCTGGATTCAACCATATTTTATAGCAAACTTGAAAACTAATGATTTGTTGCCAGTTCGCTCAGAACCAGCTCTTTGATACAACCACCTCACTACGCCTAACAGTAGAGCTAGAGCTGATATTAAATCTCCTTGTTAGAGTTCTTATAGTGCTTAAAACAGTCATTGCTTTATAGGAGCCAGAATCCTCTTCGTTTGTCACACCAGCATTAAATACAATGGCACAAAACAGTTAGTCAACAAGTTGCTGCTTGTATCCCGCATCATGCACCAATATATCTACTGACACATGACAGGGAATTCATACAATGACTCATTAACTAGCAGCTATTACTTATGCATTGCACTTAGGCTAGCACAACTAACTCATAGAATTCTTTCCAGTGAATGCGTAAAGAAAAGGATAAACTTATTGGCTACACAGACAACCTGTTTTTGCTGGCAAACTGTCAGGCCTTTTTTGTTGTTGTTGCTGTAACACACTGTTTTCAGAACATCTTACCCAGAGTGGTTTCCTTCAAATCTATTTAGGTACCAAATGCCAATTTTTTAAAAAAAAAATCCAGAATTTTCCTCATTGCTATTTGTTTATTTCCCTACAAACCTCTAAATTAATTTTTTTAATGCTATTAATTTTTATATGTTCTTATCAAATGTTAAAAAAGAAATACCTTTGTTTAAAAAAATTAATAGCATTAAAAAATTAATTTAGAGGTTTGTAGGAGAAACGATATGAAAAGGAGACCTCTGGGTGTCTTTAATGACTCCTGGTTTTTCAGCAAGTAATATAAACAATTGCCAAATTATTTTGAGAATGTGCAAAATAACAGCACACTCCTGTATGGGTCTATTGGAAATTTAAACGGCTTAGTTCAGTTATTCCCAGGTAAATGTCCTTAGGACTATACTCTTAGGCTCTCATTCAAAATGTAACTCGGAGAAATTCACAATATCGTCAGAGTCGCAGAATTTTGGAAGATTTACTTTTTCACCAGCATGGCATGAACTAGGGAGAAAGGGAATAGAAGTTGATTCCCCACTGTGCTTCCTTGACAGTGGCTAGACTTGATGATCTTTAGGGTCCCTTCCAACTCTGCAGTTCTACAATTTTAAGATTCTAGTACACTTTTTAAAAGCAAATCTAATATTTGCAGTCTCAAAATCATGAAGTAGAAGGATGTTAGCATCCCACAGATACGTATTTTGTCTGTTACTTTGAGTATGGGGACAGGTTGTTGAATTGCATAAAGGTAGACACAGTTTATACTGAACAGATTTCAAGCTTTTTAAAATGTAGCTAAAACACCAATGAGAATTTGTCAAGTCTGCCACTAGGAGAATTACCTTAGGCAGGGATGATAACTCTAGATGCTGTCCCTGGTTCCAGTAGTGTATATACAAAGTTTCTTTTCATGCTTGTGCAAAAATCCTAACTGGAGGATTCAATATTTATATACCCTTTGATTATGTGCTATGTTTTATTCACCTTCCCTGGTGGGCGGAGAATAGGTCTGGTGAAGAATAAACCAAAGAAAGTTTTCACTATGTTCCTGGTATAGTTCAGATACTTGGTACACATTGCATGTTAGTCCTCTAATCTTAACTCTCTGTTCCAGGTACAAAACCTTCAAGTAGGAGGCATGCCTACCATTTGCCTTTGGGGGAAAAATCAGCTGAGAAAGAAAGGGACGTGGGGGGGGGACATGGCTTCAGGCTAACAGGTTTGCCTCTGATGATGTTCAGCTGTTACTAAAAGTTCAAATAATGTGCAATATAAGTTGCAACTGCCAATTAGTGTGTTTTTTTAAGGTAGTAAAATAAAATAAAATACAGGAGTCTGGGAATCCTTTGTATCTTTGTTTTCAATCCACAGGAGGAAGTGAAGAAATAACATAGTCCAGTTAAACAACCATGAGGACAGATGTTGTGTTGCTGTATCTCACCCTCATACGCTTTGGGGCTAGTATTCCAAAAGATCCTCCTGCAATAAATGTTGTATCTCTTAACTGTAAGTATGAACTGCAGGGAAGCATCAGTAAGATTTCTTCAATACACCCACCCCAAACCCAAATTCAAGTCGCAAGCCCTGTGAAAACGAAAGGAACTAGGCACTCATTTTTGTGGGAAGCTAGGAAATCTTCCTGGTACATGGAGAAGTATCATTGAATCTTGGCATGAAGAGACTTAGAAGACTGACAAGAACCTGAAATTTTCCATTTATTCTCCATACTCTTATTCTGAAGATGCCTAGAAGGGACCATCCATGCCACCCTCTGTTGTTTCTTCGATGTTTTCAGCATGCACTGGCTCTTCAGGGGAGGAAAGTCTGATTTTCTAGGATTCTTGCTCACATAGAGAACTTACACACATAAGTAACACTGGAAGTGTAAAAATGGCCATGGTGGAAGGAGAGAAGGGTTAAGTGTTCCCACTAAGTGTTCTTAGAATGCTAGATTCTATAATGCCTAACTGTTCAATAAGGCTACAGTTTCCTGATCAGCAAAACACATACCAGACCCACTGTAATGTCAGTATATGTATTGAACTACCAGTTTGATCTATTCTTTTTCTAAAAAATACTACCAAATAAGAGACATTCATTAATGTTTTCTGCAGGAATAGTGATCATTAAAAAATCTGATGAGCAAAAAGGCCTTAATAAGAACAGATACCACAATCCTGTGGAGGGTGCACCACCCAGCACTGAAATTGTTAACAAAAATTGTTGTAGCTTTAATATGACCCTGCTGGCTTGATAGCTCAGTGATTTAGGTACTGCAGAGTCAGAGGTTGGAAGTTCAATTCCCCTCTGTGCCTCCAGGGAGAAAAGCCAGCCTGTGTAGTCTTGGGCAAGCTGTATAGTCTGAGAGTGCCCCCAGGAGATTAGAATAGTAAACCACTTCTGAGTATTCTCTATGTAGAAAACCTTGAATAGGGTCACCATAACTGACTTGATAGTATATGACTGTTATTATTATTACTATGGCCACTTCTCACTATTTCAGTTCTTTCAACTTTACATTGGCAGGAAAACTCAAAGCAAATGAGATTAGAGATGTGTGGGAAAGCTCTTCCGTCTGTATATGTGTGTGTGTGTTGATTGCTTGAGCCATACCTGGGAATAGCTGTGGGTCAGTTGTTCAAACACTTCCACACTCCTACTCCTGAGCATGTGCAGAGTGCCCTTTCTTACCAGATAAGAAGGCAGTGGAAATAGGGCTCCCAGTGCCCACAGATGGGGCAGGTCCTTATGAGCGGGAGGACCAGAGGCTGGCGTGGCCGGAGGCAGTCCTGCAGGTGGGGCCAGCAGACCATTGGGGGTGGTGAGGGCTCATCGGTGGCTGAGGCCACCACGGAGAGGGCCATGCCGCACGGCCCCAGCCCAGCCACCACGGCCAAGAGTAGGAGTGTCCCAGCCAAGCTCCTTCTCTGTGACGAAAGGCAGAAGCCTTCGGTATAATCTGCACACCTGGAAATGGTGCAAAGAAAAACATGTCCCTTTCAAAAAATGAAAAGATGTTTCATGCCTATGCATGAAATTAATATATGGTTTCAGGTGAGAGTGAGGACACAAAATGAACATATTTTACAAAAAAAATGAACAATGTTTTCTATTTTAAAAAATTCAAATGGAAGCACCACTATGAATTGACGTGGAGGATACAATAGCAGGAACTCTGTTGAAAGAGACTTGACAGTTCCACTTACCAACTAAAATCTCACTATATTAAGAGGCTTTCATGAAAACTCTCTACTTATTTTCTTGGAATGTCTTCTCTTTCCTCAGATACAAGAAATTATCCAGCATTTATGGGCAATAAGGCTGACTATGGTCCCCTAAAAAAAAACAAGATGGACATTCAACTGCTCTTGATATCGGACAGAACCCTGTATATTGGTGCCAGGTCAGATGTTTGTTCTTTGACTCTCTTCTCATTCTTCTTAACAAAACCAGTCTCTTTATGTTGGCTTTGACAGATTATTTTCTGTATCCTTTTGTTACCTTTCATACTTCAAAGCAAGACTGCCACTTAGGAGAAGCAGAAGGGCCATAGACCTCATAGAACTATTTTTGTTGTTTAATCATTAAGTTGTGTTCAACTCTTCATGACCCCATGGACCAGAGCACGCCAGGCCTTCCTGTCTTCCACTGCCTCTGGGAGTTGGGTCAAATTCATGTTGGTAGCTTCAATGACACTGTCCAACCATCTCATCCTCTGTCGGCCTCTTCTTCTCTTGCCTTCACTCTTTCCCAACATCATCGTCTTTTCCAGAGAGATTTCTCTTCTCATGAGATGGCCAGAGTATTGAAGCCTCAGCTTCAAGATCTGTCCTTCCAGTGAGCACTGAGGGTTGATTTCCTTCAGAATGGATAGGTTTGATTTCCTTGCAGTCCAGGGGACTCTCAAGAGTCTCCTCCAGCAACACAATTCAAAAGCATCCATTCTTCAGCGGTCAGCGTTCTTTATGGTCCAGCTCTCACTTCTATACATCGCTACTAGAAAAACCATAGCTTTGACTATTCGGACCTTTGTCAGCAAGGTGATGTCTCTGCTTTTTAAGATGCTGTCTACATTTGTCATCGCTTTCCTCCCAAGGAGCAGGCGTCTTTTAATTTTGTGGCTGCTGTCACCATCTGCAATGATCATGGAGCCCAAGAAAGTAAAATCTGTCACTGCCTCCATATCTTCCCCTTCCATTTGCCAGGAGGTGACGGGACCAGTGGCCATGATTTTAGTTTTTTTGATCTTGAGCTTCAGATCATTTTTTTGCATTCTCCTCTTTCACCCTCATTAAGAGGTTCTTTAATTCCTCCTCACTTTCTGCCATCAGAGTGGTATCATCTGCATATAGGAAGTTGTTGATATTTCTTCTGGCAAACTTACCAGTAATTCCGGTTTGGGATTCCTCCAGTCCAGCCTTACACATGATGTGTTCTGCGTATAACTTAAATAAGCAGGAGGACAATATACAGCCTTGTCGTACTCCTTTCCCAATTTTGAACCAATCAGTTGTTCCATATCCAGTTCTAACTACTGCTTCCTGTCCCAAATACCAATTTCTCAGGAGATAGATAAAGTGGTCAGACACTCCTATTTATTTAAGAACTTGCCATAGTTTGCTGTGGTCTGCACAGTCAAAGGCTTTGTATTATCCCTTCTTAAATGCCATATGTCAAATATGGAAGCTTTTCCTTATCCCAGGATAGGTAAACATACATTGCCTTCACATTTCAGCTGTTTTATCAGTTTATATTCCCCCAACTTCACTCAAGGCTATGGCATGTGTCATTGCTTCCCAAATGGAATTCACTGTTACTGGATTCATCCATTCTTATCAATGAATTTAAACAGTAGTTCCCAACCATGGGTGACTCAAGTGTTCTTGGACTGCAGTTCCCAGAAGCCTTCATCACCAGCTGTGCTGGTCCGGATTTCTGGGAGTTGCAGTCCATAAATACCAGGATTATCCAAGTTTGAGAACCTCTGACGTAGAGGAATCAACACCAGATATTCCTTCACAGTAGCACTGTTTGCTTGGGTGCTGTATGCCACTCAAAACTGATAGATTTGTCATCTTCAGTTCTCATACAACCCATTTCATATGATTTCGGAAAGACATGAGTTTCACCTAGTACTTGGATAGAAGAACATGAGAATTCTCCATGTATGACTAGAATAGTATTCAGAAACCCTCAAGAGCTGCTGCCAATCACTATAGAATATACCACGCTAGAGGATCCAGTGATCTAAGACTCTATAAGGGACTTCCTACATTTCTTTGTTTCCTATTTTACTCATTTTCCCAGAGCCTTGGTTTTGTATCAGCATGTGATTTTTTAAAAAATCAAAACCCCTGTTATAGGGGATGTCCACCCACTAAGTAAGAGATAATTTATTTGATCACAGAGAACTTTCTAATAATAATAATAAAAAAAAACAGCTGGTCTAACTCTGTTGTACATTGGAACATATTTTCCTTTTCTTTATAGAAACCGTGTCTATTCTTTGAATCTGGATGAATCACATACGGATGAAATTTATTATAGTGGTGTGAGTATCATTCTGCCAATTTTAATGAAGAACAGGAAGGAAATAAAAAGAAGAAGCCATATTCAATCCACTTAGTTATCCACCATTCCTGTATCTGCTACAATATTATAGCTTTTACATTATTATTATTGTTGTTGTTGTTGTTAGTAGTAGTAGTAGTAGTAGTAGTACCAGTAGTAGTAGAAGTAGTAGTATTTAGACACATAGATGAATAGTAATTGTACAAATGGCCAGAATACTTTTAGCTACACTTCACATCGATTAATAGTAATTGTTCAAATGGCCAGAATACTTTTAGCTACACTTACTGGCATACCACTAAGCAGTGTGAGTTTCACCTACAAATTTCCACAAGAAATCAATTTAGGCATATCTAAATACCCACTGTATTTACTGTGATTTCTTAACTTGTGGCAATATGCCATTGAAGTTTTACACTGCTAGGATTACACTGGAAGAAATCTAATTTAAGATTCTGGACCAGCCATTATTTTATAATTATTATAATAACATTTTACTAATTTTATTAAGGTCAAGGCTCTCTAGATTTTTTTTAATCCTCCAGAAATCAACAACATGATCTACAGCTGAAAATTGCCTTCACATTGACAACATCATGCTCAGCTGACCTTTATAAGGATATGATTCCTTGATGGCTAAATGGTCCTTAGCCACTGAGACCCATAAAAAGGAATAACCAACAGTCATTAATGAACATGGAAAGAAGTGCTATTCCAAGAAGTAAATATAATGATTGAAAACCTCCTCAAATATCTAAGACATTTAATACGCATAAGAAAAAGCAATATTAATTTTTTTAAAAAATGAGCAATGCTTATTTACGGAATAAAGTAAGATCAACTGAGCACTACACTGCTAATGTGAAAGCAGGAAAGAATTGGGAAGCTGAAGTGGATCAGGCTGCCAATTTGAGGGTTGCTTTAGCTTAGTCAGTTGGGTATTTAGTTATGGAGTGAGAGTTTGAGAGTTCCTCAGTGCACCTCTGAGATGCACAGCCCCAAAGCAGCTTCCAAAGAAAGCAACAGCAAACTACTTCTGAGTAATCTATACTGAGTAAACCCTGGAATGGGTCATCATAAGGCAGAATAAGCTTGACAACACATTATTAATGGTATTATTAAATAAATATTTCTTCACAGTTGGGGCAGAAGAAAGTCTTCTGGGGGTCTAAGGCAATGTTGCCCAACCCCTCTTAGAACCTGACACATCCAGGAAGTTCTGTCCTATAGGGGCAGTCGATCTTGCAGGGTTAGTTTTAGACCCAGATATATATTCTCAATGGCAGGTATTCATTACAACAATCATACACTCTATGCCTGGCACTGCATGCCCAGCTTGCCTGTAAGACTAGGCCAGCTCCATAGTATATCGGTGATGGTATAGGGTATGCCATAACTTGTACCAAAATGGGTCCAAGTCAATGTTTAGAAATTATGGAAGTTTTATGGACGTTGACTTTGAAAGCTTCTGCCCTCCAACTAGGGATTGCTTCCTCACAAAAATGAATCATGAGCTGGGGATGGTGAGGTTTGCCAGAGTATTCAGTAGAACATTTGTCCTACTTGGAAAAGTGCAGTAACTGGTAGGAGAACATATTGAGCATGCTGGTGAGACTTAGGGGGAAGATACCTCTCATGATATTTCCCCCCTCAGAATGAGGATGGGTCAGAATTCCAGTTCAATTCGTTTTTAGTCAGAATGCATTCAAACTGTAAAATTTAAATGTGGGAGAAAGTGGAACTTGACAAAACTGCACATTCAAACATGTACATTTACCTAAGCAGTCTGTTTCTGGATCCTTGTAGAGCTTGTTATGGAATCCAAGTGAGGATGCTGAAGAAAAATGCAGGATTTATGGACAACAAGAGGTGGGCAATTTTCTTTCTTTCTTTCTTTCTTTCTTTCTTTCTTTCTTTCTTTCTTTCTTTCTTTCTTTCTTTCTTTCTTTCTTTCTTTCTTTCTTTCCTTCCTTCCTTCTTTCTTAGTTTCTTGGCTTTTAATCTCTAAAATATAAAAGAGATCATGGCATTCACTCCATTGCAATTAGCCAGTAGTCTATGAGCCTTTACTAGAGAAAGCATTAGTTTTGTGTATGGAGGATGATTTAGTTAGTAATTTAGGAGTTTTCTGCATTAAGATCACTCTCCTAGTAAATGCCATGTTCTCAGTTTATAGCAGCCAGGCTAATTCAATAAAACTAATAGAAGGAAACCTGTCTTGCTGTTGTTGTTTCATGTTATTATTCAAAGCACAAAGCAAATTGTTTATAATGGGAAATTTCACTTTAATCCCAGCAATGAAATCTCCTTGAACATTTGCCATGCAACCATAAATAAGACCATTTTAATGTATTTGCTGAAATTATATTTGTTAGTACTGATGGCTAATGTTGTTTCCCCCCTCCCAGGAGGAATGCAATAATTTTATCAAGGTGCTCCTCAGAAGAAATGAGGATACATTATTTATTTGTGGCACAAATGCTTTCAGTCCCTCCTGTGCACATTATCAGGTAAGAATGACTATCTCTTCCTAAAAACAAATTGCTATAAATTGTCAGTATAGACTGAAATCCAAATCGCACTAATTGCAGCAAGGTCTCATTCACTGAACCGAAGAAGACTGAGGGGAGCTATGATAGCACTTTTCAAATACTTCAAAGGTAGTCATTTAGAGGAGGGGCAGGATCTGTATTCGATCATCCCAGAATTCAGGACATGTAATAATGGACTCAAACTACAGGAAGCCAGATTTAGACTGAATAGCAGGAAATAAACTTCTCAACTGTTAGAGCAGTACAACAATGGAACTAATTACCTCGGGCAGTGGTGAGCACTCCAGTGCTGGAGATATTCAAGAGAAAATTGAACCACCATCCGTCAGATCTGCTTTGATTTGGATTCCTGCACTAAGCAGGGGGTTGGATTCATTAGCCTTATTATCCCCTTCCAACTCCATTATTTTATAATTCTATGGAAATTCCTCCAACACTATTTGTTGTATAGATAAGGGAAGTTGGTTCCCAACAACATCAGTTGCCTGCTTATGCTCTAACACAGTGTTTCCCAACCTTGGGTCCCCAGATGTTCTTGGACTGCAACTTCCAAAAGCCCTTGCCAGCACAGATAGTGGTGAAGGCTTCTGGGAGCTGAAGTCCAGAAATATCTGGTGAACCCAAGATTGGGAATCACTGCTCTAACAAGACCTCGACTTCTACTCAAATCAAAAATGCTTTCTATAGTTGGATTTCAACATGTCCCTTGTTGTTTTAGGTGGATTCTCTGGAGCTTAAAGGAGATTACATCAGTGGAGCTGGCAGGTGCCCACATGATAGAAAAGATGGAAATATTGCTTTGTTTGCAGGTAATAAGAGGCGAGGAGATAGATGATTGGATTTGGCAGGGAGGCAAATAAATAGTACAGAAAAAAATAAATGTTCCACTAACTGTAGTTCAGCTACTTTCACATTGAGAAAATAGTGTAGCACAAAAAAAGCTGCTGCTGTAAAACTGTTGTGGAACAGTGAAAATATTTCCCAGTGCTCCTCTTTTTTTATTACTTGAGAGAGAGAGAGGCCAGTGATGGATGTCCTTCAGGGAGATGCAACAAGTTCCAACACAGACTGTTTTCCTTCCAGTAAGAACACAAGAAACTGTCTCATCATCCAACCACTGTTTCACCTATGCCAGTGTTGTTGACACAGCAATTACCCAGAGTTTGTGGTTGCAGCTTTTCCTAGCCCTATCAAGAAATTGAGGTGATTGCGTCATATATTTGTTGTATAGATAAGGGAAGTTGGTTCCCAACAACATCAGTTGCCTGCTTATGCTCTAACACAGTGTTTCCCAACCTTGGGTCCCCAGATGTTCTTGGACTGCAACTTCCAAAAGCCCTTGCCAGCACAGATAGTGGTGAAGGCTTCTGGGAGCTGAAGTCCAGAAATATCTGGTGAACCCAAGATTGGGAATCACTGCTCTAACAAGACCTCGACTTCTACTCAAATCAAAAATGCTTTCTATAGTTGGATTTCAACATGTCCCTTGTTGTTTTAGGTGGATTCTCTGGAGCTTAAAGGAGATTACATCAGTGGAGCTGGCAGGTGCCCACATGATAGAAAAGATGGAAATATTGCTTTGTTTGCAGGTAATAAGAGGCGAGGAGATAGATGATTGGATTTGGCAGGGAGGCAAATAAATAGGACAGAATAAATGTTCCACTAACTGTAGTTCAGCTACTTTCACATTGAGAAAATAGTGTAGCACAAAAAAAGCTGCTGCTGTAAAACTGTTGTGGAACAGTGAAAATATTTCCCAGTGCTCCTCTTTTTTATTATTACTTGAGAGAGAGAGTGAGGCAAGTGATTGATGTCCTTCAGGGAGATGCAACAAGTTCCAACACAGACTGTTTTCCTTCCAGTAAGAACACAAGAAACTGCCTCATCATCCAACCACTGTTTCACCTATGCCAGTGTTGTTGACACAGCAATTACCCAGAGTTTGTGGTTGCAGCTTTTCCTAGCCCTATCAAGAAATTGAGGTGATTGCGTCATATCAGAAAATATAACCACACTCCTCTCTTTCCCCCTTTCCACCCTCCTGCCACAAAGATGACAATCTGTATTCTGGGACAGTGACAGATTTCCAGGGGTCAGATCCGATCATTTACCGAAGCCTTGGAGACCTCCCAAACCTTCGGACAGTCAAATATGACTCAAGGTGGTTGAAAGGTGGGTAAACTGAAGGAGATAGAGATGGTCACCACTGCTGATTAGCATCCAGCATTTCTGATGGGCCTTGCTGCATTCATTGGCTTAGTTCTACTACAGTGGTGCCTCGTTTAATGGGTGCCCCATTTAACGACAAAATCGCATACCGACAAACTTTTGCGATCGCTTTTGCGATCGCATCGAAATGTTTTAAATGGGGAAAAATCGCTTTGCAATCATCGGTACCCTGTTTCGCTTACCAATTATCGCAAAGCGATGATTTTCTAATAGCTGATTGGTGGTTCCAAAATAGCCAGGCCACCGGGTAAAAAAAATGGCTGCCTGCTGTGTTTTCGCGCGGATTCCTCGCTTACCGGGCAGCGAAAATGGCCGCCATATGGAGGATTTTCAATTAAGGTGAGTTTTAAGCCCATAGGAACACATTGAGGGGGTTTCGATGCATTCCTATGGGCTTTTTTAAATCACATAGCGACGAAATCGCTTTGCAGTGATTTTTGCTGCACCAATTAACGTCACTATGCGAGGCACCACTGTATTCTGTTTTACAGTCTGGTTCTCTCTAACTTACTTTAGTAATTTACAACAAATATGCAACCATGCATATTTCAGTGCTCCCTTTTGTTTTGCAGACAGGTCTTAATTATCTTCTTTAGTTATACATTTTTGCCATTGTTCTTCAATCAGCTAGATATTAAATAAAGAAGAAAACAAACAATATCCACCAGAACAGAAGAGAAACAGTTGCTTCTGTTAACATTACTAGTGCTAACACAGACTGCTGTCTGTAGCCAAAATGAGACGTTTGTTTGAGCATCAGGCTAAAACTGGGAATGGAGACATGAATCTACATTTAAGCTGTGCCTCCAAATGCAACGGAGTACCTCAGAATTCGTTCGTCATTTAGTCATTTAGTCGTGTCCGACTCTTTGTGACCCCATGGACCAGAGCACACCAGGCCCTCCTATCTTCTACTGCCTCCCGGAGTTGTGTCAAATTCATGTTG